CGCCTCGGCTCCGGCTCCGCCTCAGGCTCGGCTTCGCGCTTCTGGGGTGGCGGGGCGAGCCACGGAACGAGGTTCAGCGGGGCAAGGGGATCGATCTCAAAGTTGACGCCCGGTCCGCCACCCTTGCCCTTGCCGGCTGGCCTGCCGCGCCTCGGCTCCGGTTCCGCCTCAGGCTCGGCCTCGCGCTTCTGGGGTGGCGGGAGAACGGCAGGGAGAATGTTGAGAGGTGCAAGGGGGTCGATCTCAAAGTTAACATTGGGCCTCCAGCCACCCTTCTTGCCAGCGGCCTTGCCGCGCCTCGGATCGCGCTTCTGGGGCGGCGGGACAACGTAAGGGAGCACGTTGAGGGGGGCAAGAGGATCAACTGAGAATTCGACACCCGGCCGGCGCGAACCACCCTTCTTGCCGGCGGCCTTGCCTCGCCTCGGCTCTGGTTCCGCCTCGGGCTCCGCCTCCCGCTTCTGGGGCGGCGGGACAACGTAAGGGAGGATGTTGAGAGGGGCCAGCGGATCGACTTGGAAGTTGACGTGCTTGCCGAGCCGGCCCAGTGATTTGCCGAGCCTGCCCTTGGGGTCGCGCTCAGCAAGCTGCTGGACACCAGAATCAAGGTCGCGGGCTTGCTCGACATTAGGGATCACGCCAGCGTTGGCGAGGCCGACGGCGGCAACGAGAGCGGTAGTGTGCTTCATTTCGAGAGCGTTTAAGTCGGCTGACTGCCACCTTGGGAGGGATTAATGAGAGTATTAGGCTTGCCACGTTGGCTGGAAGCTGGACCGGAAAGATAAGATTGATGCTGAAACACTTGGGGCTTGCCAGAAACCCGAGTGGGAAAAGAGAGTAGTACAAGTTGGATTAGGTGCTTGCCGGAAGCGAAAGAAAGAGCGAAAGAAAGAATGAATTGGGACTTGCCAGAAGCCCCGGTGGAAAGAAGGTGCTGGTTTGTGAAGATTGAGCCGATGCTGGAGAAGAAAACGGGAGACTTGAGGGACAGAAGCAGCCCATCTTTATACTTGACGACGCTCATTTTCTGACGTCTGACATGGACCATGATGGACGCCCGTTGAGCCGCAGCCAACGCAATCCGCGTTGCAGCGGCGAAGGTGAGCGAGCTTCCAGCGGCCAGCCAATTTCCCAGGCCAGAAACAAACGACGACACGCTGCTGTCCTCAGCCTCGGCCCGGCGACTGGGATCAGAATCCGACAGAGCGATCTCGAAACGGGCCCATGGGCCATCAGATGGACCAAGCCACGCCGTTGGGACGCTCGAAGGCAGCTAGAAGCATGCCAGATTGACGATTACAGATGACCGACACCTGTCGGCAGGTCGGATCGGGGCCGAGACGCATCTCGAAATAGATGCAGGTGGGCCACGGAAAACCGGCAGAAGGGGAAACGGGCCCAGGTTTGGCAGGTGTCCGGGGTTGGCGAATCACGACGGCGTCACGGCGTTGCTCTGTGCAGATCTCGCTACATCAGCAGGAATTCGGCCCTGTCCATCTCAAAATTCTGAAGGTGGCTGCGGTGAGACGTAGCCCGATGTTGGACATCGCGTCTGTGTCAGGGACGGTGCGCTTGCGGCCAGGTCACCCAAATTTTGCAGCAAAAGGTTGGGATGAAGCGGCCGTGATGTTGCAGCAGGAATATCTTGGCCGCTGGCCAGTGGGGAATTTGGGATTGCTGCGATTCAACTCGCTTACATAAGGCAAGAATGCTTAGTCATTCTAGATTTCCTGTGCTGCTGTAACCAATGGCAGCTCCAAGATTTGCACACGACGCCACGCTCTTTCCGTGCCACGAGCGACATTGAGGCACAGGTTGCACCCTGAGAAAGGTGCCTAGCTTAGGACGCGGCGCGCACAGAAACCGTGCCACTGAAGTGATTGCAAGTACCTACAAGGGCTTGCCAGAAATAGAAACAGGTTGAGGTGAGAACTGGAGACGTTCACCTTTCGGAATTGAATTTTTGACTTTTTGAACCCTAACCTGGCCTTTAGCTTCATCAGAGAGTCATTCCCTCAAGGCCTCAAGCATCTCAGGCATCACGAGCATCACGAGAATCGCCAGCCTGCATTCATGTCGAGAACTACGCTACGAACCACGCTTTCTGCAGTCTGAAGCGTGTCGTTTGTTTCACGGAAACTTGTTCTTCGGACACATAAGCTAACTTTTTGACAGACATCGCCTCGACGCCTGCAGTCTGCACGTCACTCCCACTACCTGCAAGGCCATGGTTTAAGCGGCGTCGTTTTTCCCCTTGCTCTTGCCTTTTTCAACGAGCCACCTCATGTTCCTGGGTCGCTCTTCGGAACCAAATTGTTTCTTCACGCGATCTCAGTCACCGGCCATTTCTGCGAGGAGAGCAGACCGTCGAAGCTTCGGGATGTCGAATGCTGATTGCTGAATCGTTTACCAATCGCCTCGATGCGATATTGCCATTCTCACTCTCGTTTCGCCATGCATCATCACAACTTGCTCTGAACAGGAAAAGTTGTCTAGGGATCATATGACTTGTTTCTTCGCACAGAGCAAGCAAAAGCTGTTGCTGTGAAGAGCTCACGGTCCTGCAGTTGCGGTTAGCATCCGCTGTTACAACGGCACTTGTTGCAGGTAAGGGACGTTAAGTGCCGAGAAATGCATATTACCTGCCAATTCTGTCCGTGGCATCAAGCTGTCCCATAATATCGCAATCAAGACGACTCACCTTGACTGGACAGTGCTCCGGCAATGCTGGACTGCCGGCTGATCTTAATATGAAACAATTACTATCAACCGCCAACCACACTTCGTTCGCTCCTCGAATGGAGCCTCATTCTTGGCTGCAATCTATGCACGGGACCAAGTGGTCATATCCACGTGCCTTTCGGCCCATTAGGAACCGCTCTGTTATCATCGACCTCCATGCTAATCGCAAGATGTTCGGGGATCACTTCCCGAGCCGGTGGTATACATCCACTATCTCCGGGGTCAAGGTCCCAGGTTAAGAAGGGGCTCTTTCCGTGCCATAATGATCGTAAGGTCTGGGGCTGAGACTCCATTGCCACAGTGCTCTCAGTGTGGTTGCCCGTCATGATCAGCCCAAAGACAGCAGTGGCCATTGCGGCGGCCTTCTTGCCCTTCGTGTATTCGAAGGAGATGGCCGTCAATACACAGCTAAAGGCAGCTCTTTATGACAGTGGCTTGCGGATGGAGGAAATCATGGCGCGGAAACATGTAAGCCGATGCCCACCTCTTCCTCGACCTGCCTCTGGATAGCTAAAAACAGGACTAGGCAACATGGGCGAAGATGGAGCAGGAGGGAGCCTTCAACTCGACGCAGTACAAAACCTTCCATGCGGCTGACGGCCCATTTGCATGCACAAATGGCATCGCAACCTACGATCCCGGAAACCCCAAATACACCTTCAGGTGCAAGAACCTCGATCTCTATGATTTCAAAACCCACTCTCAGCTGGGGAGCCTGGGAAGGGGCTCAGGGTCTTGGGGCTGGACGAGTCCCGATGGCCGGGAATTCGTCGCCATTGGGCAGGAGGATGGGACTGCCTTTGCCGAAATATCCCCACAGGGCAAGCTTGTCTACCTTGGCCGCCTGCCGCAGTATTCCAGCGTGTCTCTGTGGCGTGAGATCAAGGGGTACAAAAGCTACATCCTCATTGGCAGCGAGGCTCAGGGGCACGGTGTGCAGATCTTCGACATGAGCAAGCTTTTGGATGTCGACCCGGCAAAGCCTGTTGTCTTCAGCAACCAGAAGGATCTTACCGGCTTTTGGACTGAAGGGCTTCCTCTCGGCCGCTCTCACAATGTTGTCACCAACGAGGAGCGGAACTATGGTGTGGCAACGGGGTTCCAACCCAGGAATGGCACCCTCCGGGCAGGTCTTTTGTTCTTCGACCTCACCGACCCTTCAAAGCCTAAAACTCTCGGAGGCAGTGGCGCTGATGGCTACGTCCATGATGCCCAATGCCTCGTCTACAGGGGCCCTGATGAGAAATACAACGGCCGTGATATTTGCTACGGCTATGATGAAGATTCCCTGACCATGTAAGTACCGTATCCGAGCCGGACTCGGAGGGATAGTGTATCACGTCACTGACCATTTCTTACCCACCAGCTTCGACGTCACCGACAAATCCAATGTCAAGATAATCTCTAATACATCCTACGAAGGATTTGCATACACCCACCAAGGCTGGGTGTACGATCCGCAATGGCAGCAGTATCTCATCGCCGACGACGAATACGACGAAGTGGACGGGACCGGCGCCGCTGCCGACGGCTATCCGATCTCGTACATCTGGGACATCACCTCTCTTGAAAACCCAAAACAAACTGGACATTACAAGGGGCTTAGGAAGGGAATCGATCACAATCAGTACGTCAAGGACGGCTTCAGCTACCAGAGCAACTACGGCTTGGGCCTCAGCATCCTGGATCTCCGCTCAATCCCCTCGGACCCCACAGGGAAGGGTGTCAAGGAAGTGGCGTATTTTGACATTCACCCCGAGGATGACCACTTGCCGGGTGGTGGTGAAGTCGAGTTTACGGGGACTTGGAGTAACTATCCGTTTTTCCCTAGTGGATACATCATGATCAATACTATCGAAAGAGGCGTGTTTGTGGTGAAACAATCTCAGCCTGAGTAATGACACAGGAGATGGGTTCAGGTCATGATAACTTCAGGTTGTTTTGGGACAGGCTTTCTCTAGAGATGGTACATCTGCGCTTGGCTTCTTAACTCATCAGCGTTGCTAGTATCCGTTTAGAGCACGGATAAGAGTACTAATCAGATGAAGCCAGGTCAGCTAGTTGTCACAAGGAGCAAATCGAGAGTTGAGCATATGAGAGACGAATGTATCTTGATTCTTAGCATCTTTCATGACCCTGCCCAGAAAACCGCCCACGTCTTCTTGGTTTCTTGCATTTGGCCGAACGGTGTGCTTGCACTTGCACACCTATCCAGGGGCAGCCTGGAGTGATCCTATTGATGAGCGGTTCGCAAGGGCCGTTTTTACTAACCCTCATCCATCTAGAACTCTGTTCGCCACGGGGACACGAGTTCAGCTGCTCAACGCCGGCTCGCCCTCAACAACCACCATGCCGTGGTTCCCTCGATATGTTGCGGGCTCGGAAGGCCGCCACCCTGATCGTTCCAGCCACCCGCCATCCTCAAGGCGGAATATTTCCACCTTCAGCGGGCGGCAGCATTTGATCATTTCCTTCTCACTCTGAGCACCGAATCCCCACAGGGACAGATCCCCTCCCGGACAAGTGCCTAGATACACTCTCTTAGTCTCAACCATGCTCAAAACCGAAGTACAGAACAACTTACTCAACGCCATAAGCACATCCTGCTCCGCCAAAAACTCAATATAATCCCCTTTCCCCGCCGGACACGGATTCATGAAATACCTCCCCTCCTCATCCAACCCCGTAACCTGAAACAAATTAATCACATCATGCACATCAAACTCTGTCAATCCCCACGGCAGCACCGCCCTCGTCAAATTCGAATGACAATGAAAATCATACTCCCCCCCACCACTCAACACCGCATTGATATACGGATCACACCTCGTCCCCAACAAATCATGCACCCGTCCCTTATGCTCATCCTCCCCATACCACGCCAACGAATCCGCGATGATAGTCACCAGGGGGCGCATATAAGGCAGGCACGACCACAGCCGGTCGTACGTCGACACATGGGTGGCGTGCAGCTGCCGGGTGCGGGACGCCCAGAACCGTTCCCGCGGGTTGTGTGCGTTCCAGATGTTCAGATCGCCTACTTGGGGCCCGTCGGGGGTGCTGATCCGGATGATGCTCCCTGCGGGGGCTTTCCAGGCACGGCCGGAGCGGATGGGGAGAGTGAAGGACTCGATCAGGATGCGCGGGGCGCGCTGGATGGAGGAGTACAGGTTGGTGTCGACGGTTAGGGGTGAGCCGGCGGTGGGAAGATAGGCTGGGACGGGAGTTGGGATTGGCTTCCGGTTCCGGACGCGGGATGAGTCGGAGTCGGTCGTGCCGGGCGAAGGGGTCGTCATGGTGCGTACCTATTATTGAGCCTAGTGACTGCAGGCTCTGCGATGGTGCTCGGGGGTGTGACGACTGATTGCGAATAATCTTCTTGAGCTGCTTGAGGGTGAAACCCCGCAACCGGAGAGCTAGAAGCCCAAGTTTGAGTCTAGGTTGGCGTTCTCCACCTCGCGGTCCGCCAGCGGAAGGCTGAATGGAGACCCGCTTGCCATTGGGCGCCACCTATGAGTTGATGAGACATATTACTCCGTAGATTTTAACAAGAAAAGGTACCAAAAGTCTTCTGTTCGGGGCGAGGTGGCCTCGGGGTCTGTACAAGGTGCAACCAGCAGGTAGCCCGGAGCCTTATTAACGCCAGCTGTCACAGTCCAAGACAGAAATGGGTGGCTACGGTAACTGCTCAGGGATGCGTTTAGTGCCCGAGAGTTGAATCGGCAGTATCCCACTTGTACCCCTAACCCTGACTATGTCTTACCCCTTACTCCCCCTGAGCCAGTGGCCTTAGCGTTTTGTTGTGCCCTACGTTGCTGTGAATAGTGTCAACAGCGGTTGTCGGCATCAAATTGAGAAGTAGATGATTCCATGGTCTTCAACCGGTCATGGGCGGCTCTTCACTTTCACATTCTGACTCGTTGTCCTGTAACATATTAACGTTGCCATGTCCGGCTGAACGGGTCAGATACCACGAGCCGGAGGTAAGGTTTGATACAGACGGCAAACTCGTGAGGTGCGGGGTATCCGTTGGAGTCAAGCGTAGAACCTCCAAAGAGGCACGATCCAGCAATCTAGACTCTGGAGTTAACCGTGGCGGATTTGCGAAGCGGCCAGGCAATGATAGGAGGCGATGACGCCCACTGGCTCCAGTCTGGTAATCTAAATCACGAGGTCAACATTTATCGACTGTTAGCACCAACACATTTCCATCACTCAAAAAGAAACCCGCCATCGTATCGACTGGAACTATGAGCAGCCTCGAGTCTGCGATTGCAGGCGATGATGCGTCTCATGCTGTCCCGAGTCAGGGACCAGGGGCCGCTCCTACCGGATCCGGGTCGCAAGGTGCCTCGGCCAAACCTGACGAGGACATCACTTCCCTCATCGAAGACCACATCATCCCAAAGCTAGACCCAGAATTCCTCCGATACTTCGCCAAGCACCACGTACCAGCTCCCCAGCCTAACATCCCCATTGAGCATGTCCGCGCCAATCCGCAAGCATTCCGGTCGCCTTGCGCACTGGACACGTCTGGCTACCCGGGGGTTACCGAGGACAGTTTTGCTTCGACGCGAGACGATAATGTTCGGATTCCTGTCCGAGTTTACTATCCGGACGAGGCAAGGCATGGGCCTGGGCCTTATCCGGTGCATCTGAACTTTCACGGTACGTCCCCCGAACTGTTTGAATGTCCTTGAAAATGACGGTGTTCAGGACTGACCTGATTGTTTTGTCAAGGCGGTGGATTTGTCCTCGGCGACTTGGACACGGAGGGTGCCTTGTGTCTGCGTATGCGAGAGGCAGGTGTCGTGGTGGTTGATGTAGCCTATCGTCTCTGCCCAGGTAAGTCCTTGTCGGTGGCTACCTGTCATTGCACACATGCTGTCTAACATGCTGACCGGCTTGAAGAAACTGTCTGGGGGAAATGCTTTCAAGACGCATGGGATGCTCTGAATTGGGTCAGTTCCATCCCCTTTCCGACTTCACTCACCTACGACACACCCCCCTAACCCCTGACCCCTGGTATGGCTATGGACATAGGTCCGCGATTCATCAACCACCCTATACATTAACCCCTCATCGCTCTCCATCGGCGGTATCTCCGCCGGGGCGCACATCTCTCTCGTCCTGCAACACCTCGCTCGCGACGCGGGGATCCCCCTGAAACTCTGCATGGCCTCAGTCACACCCGCCACTGACGCCCTCACCTACACCTACTACACCGACTCGCCCTTCCCCTCCTTCCACGAATTCCACCGCGGCCCCGTCCTACCCTGGGCACGCATCAAGTTCTTCGGCCAGACCTGCATGCCACGGGACACCCTTCCCTCGCTACGTCAGCAGTGGCCAGACTGGTGGTTCGCGCCGCTCCGCGCAGCCAACTGGACCGGGTTATGTGATTCGTTCATCCGGACCGCCGAAGCTGACCCTTTGAGAGATGAGGGCGAGGCATACGCCATGAAGCTCGTCGCGGGCGGGAACAGGGTTACCATCAAGAGGTATCTGGGCTGTCCGCATACGTTCATGTATCTGGATTGTATGAGCAAGAAGCATGAGTACGACCGGGATGCCGTGGACGCGTTGCGGGCTGCGCATGGACTCATCTGACGGATTAGCGAGTGCCATGAGTATCGCCGGTGCTACATTGAGCCCTGAGCCAACCCATATTGCTTCTGTGTGAGCAGAGCGAGCCCAATGCACTCGTGCTATTACGTCGGAGGCATCGGCCGTTGGGTGGTTCTATTCGGTGAGACTATCGAGGATCACCAGGGACAATACTAGTGATCATGATGGACGCCTTTGTTATATCAGCTGTTACAACCGGTACCTAACATATCATCAGGTCAAGCGAATAGCATCCAATCGTAAGCCATCTTTTCCAACCACTACGATATCCCCTCTTCCTTCAAGCCCGCCAAGACTTAACAGCTTCACCGAGCATCCTCCTTGAGCTCAGTCACCGCCCCTTTATGTTCAACATCAGGGTGAGGCTTCTCCATGAATACATCATCGTTGTGTACGACCTTTGCGACAGCCGCGACGGCTTCGTCGGCAAGTCGCTTGTCCTCGAAGACTGTTTGTCATGTTAGCACCGCCCTGCCGGATATCAGTAGCACAAGCCTGACGAGTTCGAACTTACTGAATGCAAGTTCCTCGAGGGTGCGGCCAAAGGTCTCTGGGAACATCCAGTAGACAAAGCAGACCTCGAAGCCGAGCCACACACAGTACGAGATGAGGTACCTCCAACCGACGTTGTCAAGACCGATGGGGTTGACGAAAGTGGTAAAGAAGTTGGCGAGCCGACCGAAAAGCTGGAAGGCAGCGATGCCGCGGGAGCGCTCGGCATAGGGCCAGACCTCAACCATGTAAGCTGTGAAGGTTTGATACGTCAGCAATCTCCCAGCCCCCAGTGGCCGTGGTCAAACGGAAAGGACAAAGAACCCACTGTATGTCAAGGCGTTGTAGCCGATGTTGTAGCACGGCGAGTAGGCGTAGATGAAGAATATGGTGGCGATATTGGCGGCTTGGTTCGGCATATTCATTTCCTTTCCTAGCTGGGCGTATCTCATGGAAATTGTCCAAGCGATATAGCAGGACAGCAGGCTGATGGTGCAGACCAGATACATGACGCGGCGGCGAATCGTCGTGACCAACAAAGAGACAACGACACCACAAATCAAGCTCCAGCAGGCAATCGAAACGTTGATCTTCTGGATAAAAGTGCGGTCCGAAATGCCAATCATTTCGAAGAGAGCAGCAAGGTAGTAGCTGCTCCCAATTAGCAACGCCGAGTGAGCCCGATCTGGAGAGTGGCGAGGCTTACGAGATGAGGGTATTGCCAGACCACTGTGTGAACAAGCCCAGCATGGTGGTAATGAGCAGACGCCGTCGCATGCCCGACGTCTTGATAAGGTCAAGCCAAGACATCTTGGCAGCCTCGACCTCGAGGTGGATGACGGTCTGCATCTGGGCAAATTCGGCCGCGACAAACTCCAAACCACGGTCGCCTTCGGCGTGGTACTTGGTCAAGATGTCCTGAGCTTCCTGGCCCCGATCCTTGGTAATGAGCCAGCGGGGGCTCTCCGGCAGGAAACTAAGGGAACGGCTATGGTCAGCTGCTATCTGCAGACAAACTTGGCCAAGGAGGATACGCACAAGACAAAGCAGATCTGCAGCAATGAAGGGCAAATCTGGAGGAGGGATGGAATCCTCCACCCCCAGTCACCCTTGATACTGTTGGTCCCGAAGCAGATGCCCGCGGCAACGATCTGTCCGATGAAATAGGAAACGTTGAAGAGGGAAGTCAAGACAGGGCGCTCCTTGGGATAAGCAAGCTCGCCGATCAAGGACGACCCCGAGACGATACAGGTGGGAATTCCGAAGCCGAGAATCATGCGAGCGACGATGTACATGGCAACTGGTTTGAAATTGTCAGCACAAGTTGCCCAAGATCACTGCTGTGAGTACTACTCACCGTGTGTGGAGAAGCCCTGAATAAGAGCGCCGATTATCATGATTACCGACCCGCCAAAGATGGACCATCGACGGCCGAATTTGTCATTGACCACGGGGATCAGAGGCAGCGACAGAATGGCCCCCAGCGAGTAGGCGGCTGCAATGATGCCCTTGAGGGCGCCGCGAGGATAACCGAAGACTGCGACGTGAAGTCGGAGTAAGCACTGAACCATGACCGGATTTCTGCTTTGCTCCAACTGTGCTCAACTACTCACATATATCCCAGCTTTCAAGAATTTGAAGCGCATTGATCATTTGGGAGTCAAAGCCCGAGGTCAATTCGATACCCATGCATGTCGGGAAGAGCATGAAGTAAAGATAGGCAAGATTCGGCTTCTGATACCATTTCTTCGTGTCCTTGTTGGCAAGCCGTGTGACGATGGGGTCGGACTTGCCGACCTCGGCAGCAGTACCGAGCGCCATGGTGCGAAAGAGCTTGAAAGGTCGTTGCCTCTCGACCTGGTCTGTACAGTTCGAAGCTCAAGCGGAGGACGCGAGAAGGCCGGGCAGATTGGGGATGGCAGCAAGAAATACCCCTTCTCGACGGAATCAGCGAGAGCCCGCGGTTACTTGTAACCCAACCGTGCCCCCGGATCTAATATAGGCTGCAGAGGCGATCCATGACCCTGGGATGCTTTCACGCCTTCCACCATTCCCGCCTTCCGGGAAAAGCATATTGGGGTACAGTGAATACCTCGTACCGAGAGAGAGTCCGAGACTGACAGCGGGTGACCGGACCCGCTTGAGAGCGGCCCCAGAGGTGACAGGGAAGGATTCGCCCCTAGAGAAGGTTGGGGTAATATCCAGGATGCATCCCCGGCCGCGCTGGGTGACAATGGCACGACCTAAACTTGCCGTGTCTTGCTAGATGGGTACTAGCAGCCCTGGGGGTAGCGGGGCTCGCGGGGGAACAGGTCACGGTAGCAATGGTGTACAAGTCAACCCATGTTGCCTGTCAGCGCAGAACTCGCATTGCAGGGTCCGAGATGCCCACGACACCTCACTGCAGCGAAGCGGATTGTTGTATATGGTAATCGCAATCCCCTCGGGGAAACCCAGTTCGGGTTCACTCATCGTTCCGTCCTAGAAGAATAAGCAGTTAGTAGTACACTGATAGCCCTACTGTTGAGATCGAAAGGTACTGGTATGATGGTATCAAAGGCGGTCTTCGTATGCAGTCGAGTCGGCCAAACAGGGGGTCGAGTCTAAGTGGATTTGGCCGAGTAGTTTGTCCGGGGTAATGCGCTTCGGGCCAGCCAACCGCCTGGTGATGGCCGTTTTGACCGCGACACGGCCGCACAGAGTCGCGGTTGGCAGGTTTCTTGTTGAAGCTTGGAGGATGAGGGCCCACTCGTCGAACGGTCGCCTTGTGAACTGCTGGATTGGAGGAAGATCGAGGCCAAGACCTCGACTCCGCCGGGTAAATGCCACTAGAATGCCAAGCCGGGAAGTTGGCAAGTTCATCCCGCTAGCGCAACCTGAGCTCGTGGAAGGTTGCTCCTTCGTCATCCTCCTTCGCGGTTTCCCTTGCACAAAAGCCACATCTTATTGGTCACGATGAACCCGTGTTTCTTGTCCTCGTGCGGTCCAAGTTGCTGGGCGCCAAGGCTGAACCGCACAACCTACCACAGTAAGGTAGGTGCGAGATGGAGTCGAGGATAATCTTGTCGAGAAATGTTTGCTCCTCCAAAGTCCTTTCCGCAGGATCCATCATTGACCCGGCGATATTAGTGCGCACCACATCCTCCTCTTGGAGAGCAGACTTGTCCGCCGAGCAGTCTCGGCGCAGTGTAGATCCAATCACGAAGTCCATGGATAAGGCTATTTTGTTAGTGCGCGGAGATGGTGTTGAGTTCACAATCTGACCTCGAATTGCCAAGGTTAGAATTAACTTACCCAACACGCTGTTGGCGCCAACTTCCAATTCTTAATAAGACGGCAAACCGGCACATTTCTGATCTGTCTAGTATCGGCCCGGCAAGTGTTCGGAACTTTCGAGTTGATAGGTCGACAGCGGAGGCAACGGCACATGCACTTCACGACGTCTCGGACACTACTGCTAGTGCCTAGCCCAGAATGGAGACCGCCCTACACTAGCAGTCGAGTGCCGCCCCCGCGCCTCACGACAGTGGATTCCCCCGCACTCTTTCAGGGCTGAATCATGATGCTTCATGTTTGTGTCCACCTACCTAAGAAAATAGGGGCCAGAATCTCGGTGAAATGTACCCACAAGCAGTAAAGTCAGCGTTCCGGAGGCATCAGTGGTAGGAATGGAAGAGCTTACTCTACCTTAGTAAGAAGCTTTCTACAGCTCTGGATAGCACTGCATGTTAGGAAGGAGCTACTCGCGGACCGAAGTGTAGAAAGCCGTGGAAACCGGGCACTTGCAGACATCTGAGCAAACGAGAGACGGAAACCGTGTTACACACTTGAAAACGAAGAATGCACCATCTGAGTGAGTGTTGACGACTTGGCTGCGAAAACGAAGAGTCTGCAGCCCTTTTCAGCTTCTCCGTCCTCTTTTTCCATCAAGCCATCGGTTAGGGATTTAATCATCAAAGGCATCATCTGCCTTACTTGGAGCGCCCGAATAGGTGCTTAGCTGATGTATCGATCATCATCAGACTTGTCACTGTCTGCCACAGAAACGAGCATGTCGGTGAACCGGCCGAATGCAGTGCTCAGTATATGGGTCCAACGTCATGCTCAGCCTCGGCAAGAAAATTGTCGTACGCAGTCTGTCTCGGTATCAGTCAGTGCACTTTGCACAGGGAAACTGGACAACGAACCCAATCAAATCCTCCTTCTGTCATGTCTTTCTCCAACGAAAAGGTCCCATTAGCAACATCGAACCGTGGACTCAAGATGGAAGGCTCAAACGGCGTCTGCGAAGGCGCCGCATGAGCAGGTTCGACCGCGGATCCGTTTTCAACACTGGAAAAACTCGAGAGCATGCCGGCGAGGAGCTGGTGGATCTTGCGCGCCTCATCGGTGGTGTCCTTCGCTTCGGCCAGGCGGGCACATGACTTCTCCAAGGCCCGTATGAGCACAGCGCTCTCAGGGGCCTGAGCTCCCCCGATCTGGGAGTCTCTCCGTCTCAATTCCAGCTCCAGGAACAGGATCATGGCGGCCAGCGTCAGCACCTGACGGATCTGCGATATCTTGTAATAGACACCTCCCAAAACATCCTGCAAATCCAGCAGCGCCAGCGCCGACGAGATACACCTGTCCCGCGAAACCTGGAAGCGCACATCGTCCCTCCCCTCGGCCAGGAACCGCCGATGTAGGGTGCACATGCCCCTGTGGTAGCTCATCAGCAGGCTCAGGTTGGAGTGGTTGACCACATTCCTGCCAGGCTGATAAATCCCATTCACCGACCGAATGACGTGCAGATGTGGAGGGAAGTTGGCATAGACATCGTACAGCGCCTGGTCAATTTCCAGCACAGTCTGGTATGACCCGAGGGACGGGGCGCTGTTGAAATCCGCCACACGACCCAGCACTCTGAACAACCGCCCCTTGATAATCAGATAACTCGCCGCGGTGCGCTCCGTAAGCGGCCTCGACGGCGGCAGCACGGTAGTCCCCTCGCCCAGCTCCCAGTCATGCAGATTCCTCGGCTCCAGCGTATCCGAGTACACCGACGACGCGGTGCGCGGGAACCCGCCGGCAAACGACGCCATGTCGTCCATGCTGATGACCGACAGCCAAGTCCGCCGTCGGTACTCCGCCTCTAGCACGGGCACATGGGGACCCGGGTCGCGGTGATAGCCCATGTTGATGGCGGCGCGCACGACGACGCCCGTCATGATCCACAGCCCGCGGCGGTTGTCGTCGCGGCGGTTCAGTTCGGCCGTGGCGTTGAGCCGTAGCGCTTCGACGGTGTAGGGCAGGCATTTGGCGATGTCGCCGATGAGAAGGCATTGTGCGGTGCGCATCCGGTAGAGCTGGAAGAGGGATTCGGAGAGGCCTTCGTACTCGGGCGGTTCGCCGTATTGGTGGAAGGCGAGCATGGTGCTGCTGAGGATGGAGTACAGTAGGCCGAGCCAGATGAAGTTTGTTTGGGAGGGGGAGGTCCATTGGGCGTTGTACTGATGGAGTCAGCTACAAGACCAAAGTGGAATAGAATCGGACTCAAGACGTACCTCTCGCATGAACGTTGGTTGATGAAGGATAGCTGATCATCTTGGTCAGTGGCATGCTTTGGCGACGGTACGTCTAAGGCGATGGCAATGGCACGACGTACGAGGGAGAGTGATTGGGAAGGTTTCACGATCAAAGAATCGAGCAATTAGCCGATCAGCCGTTGGCTTTGGCGGCAGACTGGAGAGGATTTCTATGCGGTCGATGGCCTTCACCTGGTGGAAGAGCAGGCTGGTGCCATCGACGGTATGTGAAAGTATGTCACGGACGCTGTAGTCACTCTGGTCGTCCAGATCTTGGTTCCAGGACCTTTTGATCTCCTTGATCTAGCGGCAGTTAGCAGCGCGCCATGAGAAGAAGCTGAGTTGTTGAGTTGTTGATGTCCTTGGGACATATCATGCAGTGACGGAAGCAAGACAAGAAGAACTGGAAGAGGACGGGAGACTTGCAGAACAGCTGGACGAACGAAGGACTTACCTCTTCCAACACGGCATGCCAGTCATTAGCGTCGAGGTGTACCGACCGGTCCGAGTCACGGTCAATTTCCACCACGGCATTCCTGACCGGGGCGGGAGCTGCGAGGCCCGTCTCCGGCTCTGAACGGATAGAACCTGAACTCTCCGAAGCATGAGCCGTATGGGTTGGACTGTTGTTCATTGACAGAGCCTGCTGACGTTCCCCAACCAGCCGCTTAACCAACCCTTCCAAGTGATCAATTCGTTGCCGCAACACCTCTTCGTCGGCACTACGACGGCCGTTGGGAAGAGTCCCGGCCCCATTCTTGGGTCCGCGGAAGTTGCACGAGGCCTGTTCGGAGCGGGCCGTACAGTTCTGGCAGGGTTTCTCCCGGTTGCATTTCAGCCTGTGCCTTGTTAGCCGAATTCCATGGGGACGGGCCACGGATGTCTATTTGTAGGTGAAGATCGATGTTGGTCGACTGTACGCACTTTCTAGTACGACAGGGGTCACAGGATAGGGGGACGCGAGAACGCCGGGTGGTGATCTTTTGCGGCTGCTGCTTCCCGGCCCACGTGGGCGGCGCGAGGTCCTGCGATTGCATGTTATCTGATGGTACCGATAATGTTTGCTTTGTCCGCGGCATTTGTTTTCTAGAAGCTAACTTGAGTGAGATACGAGAGAGGACTCAGAAGGGAGAGAGGTTTCGGCATTACAGGCAGGCCTCAGGGGGTACACACGTGACGCCTAAAGTCCGCGGACTGCGCGGAGATAACCCCGGGTCATGGACTTACACCGTACTCATGCTCGCCGAGTCCAGTCCATGGAATTCTCACTTGTGGCTCGTCTACAGTAATCACGGTCCGGATGAAAAAGTTGGAGTCTCTGAATACATAACATGGAGGAACGGTCGAGCAGTATCAGCGAGGGCATCCGTCGTCGTCGAGTGGTGCCGAGCGATTATGCTCGACTAATCGCCAAATATGCCTTCCTTTGGGGACTTTGTTCATGCGCAATTCAAACTCAAGATCGAACCGCCGAAAACCAGCTTCAGTTCCAAAACGGTCATCGTCACGGGAGCCAACGGGGGCTTGGGCAAGGAGATCGTCAAGCACATCATCCGTCTCGATGCCAGCCAGGTCATTTTCGCATGCCGCAGCCAGTCCAAGGGCAACCAGGCCAAGCGAGAGATCGAAGCCCTCCTGAAGTGCAATTCCGGCATTATCCAAGTATGGGAGCTTGATCTGGAGTCGGCGGCATCCGTCAAGAGCTTCGTCGAGAAGGCCAACACCTTGCCCCGGGTTGATGTCTTGATCAACAATGCGGGGATTCAAGCGTTCGGCAACAACAAAGCTGTCTATGACACGGAGCGCACGCTCGCAGTGAACATCATCGGCACTTTTCTGCTCTCCCTGCTGCTGCTCCCCAAGTTGAGGCGGACGGCACAGGAGTACCGAGTCACACCGCATATGACCATGGTGACATCGGCCCTCTACGATGTCGCCAAGTATCCCGAGAAGCATGGAGACGATATCTTTACCTGGTCCAAGGACGAGTCGCATGTGGACCAGATGAACCAGTAGGGGAGTTTTCTTCTCACATCATCCCGGGCCCGGTTGCTCCACGACAGACAGATTTGGCTAACAAGACCGCAAATAGATACAACCTCTCCAAGCTGCTACAATTATACGCCACAATCAAGCTCAGCTCAATCATCGACCCAATCGACACGGACAACCCGACCCCCATCGTGATCAACTCGCTTGATCCCTGCTTCTGCAAGACGGGGCTGGCCAACGGGTTGACAGGCGTGCTCAAGGTCGTGCTCAAGGTGTTTGAGTGGATTGCAGCACGCCCTGCCGAGGAGGGCGCTGCGCTGGTGGTGAAGGCTGCCTGCGCTGGCCGGCAGACTCATGGACGCTATATGCGCTCTGGTGAGGTGCAGGAGTACAAGCCGATTGTCTTGGACGAGGGGAAAGCGGCCGAGGTCTGGGAGGCGCTGTGCAGGAGGCTGGAGAGGATACAGCCGGGTATTTTGCTGAATCTTTATTGATTAGGTGGCTGGTGCCGTGATTTATATGCCGAGTCGGATGCAAGTGGACTGAGATCATGTACTGAAGATTTCCATGATTTCCATGGTGTAAAGTTCGTGCAAATTTCCCCTGAGAAACTTGGCCGTTACCCGGCAACCTGTACTGTGTTTTTAAACACGCTACGACGCTCGGTGGTAGTCAAGTGCAACGAACCTACGTGCTAGAGTTAGGTAGGTACTTTACCTACAAGCAATCATAGAAAGGATATTGAACCTTCTGTGTAGGCGTATGTTATGGTCCGAGTCGCCATACGCTGCGGCTATCCTTTGCTTCAATGTTCCCCGGCATTTCGCACCGTCAGACACTCTCTCAGTCTTCCGTCCTTCGATATACCATCTAGCAACAGCTCCCGAAGAATTCTCACCATGCCCGACCGCTCGCCGGCCATGGCGGTCACAAACATGACCTATCAAGAACGATGTCAACATGGGCTCCGGCAGGGACATGCTCTGCTTATTTCAGACGACGGAGCCTCTTTCCGGCCGTCCCAAGCTCAAGCTCAGCACATCCGGTAGCTACCAATCCTGTGAGCTGGATGAGACGGAAGCAAAAGTGGGACGGCAGAAGGAGCTAGACACGTCAAAGCGCCGCCGACCTCATCCCCTCCCCTCATTTCCAATCCAATCGCCGGGCGGGAGAGAATGGTAATCAATGCCAGTTCCATGACGCCACCGGCCGCAGCGGCGGTATAAAGAACGCGGTACTCTGCTTATAGAAAGTCAATTTGCCGTTACCCACCCCATTCCACGACAAAGAAATCGCTGAGCAACCACCAACCAACCCGTATCGCAATCGTAACCACCACCACCAGCAGCAGAAATGTGCGTCACAACACCAGCAAGCAACGGCCCCGCGCCGCAACCGATAACCACCAACCTAGGCGTAGGCCAATGCGCCGGCCCAGCAGCAGCAGGTGCTGAGATCCGTACGTTCCCATACTCTCTTGCCCTCCGCCCACCCCCCTCCTCCACATTTATCCCCCTTCAACTAACAAGTTGATATGGAAGACGCACACGTCCCACACAGACGCCACCTCCCCGCGAGCGTGAGCGCAGCACACGAGGGCATGGACGACCCCGAGGCCAGTTTCGAGCTGCTTTTCGCGTCCTCAGGCGACTACGACTGCGCCTGCGAGGACATGCAGATGGTGCTGCTCGAGTTTGTGGCCGATCCCGTGTCGGCCGGGCATGGATCCGCGGCGGGGCATGTACGGAGTGACTCGTTCTAATCATAACTGGGGAAATGGGAAACGAGGAAGTGAGAAGGGAATGAGTCGGTTCATGTTATGATTAAGGTTCGGTTGTAAATTTGGAGTTGGGGTTGGTTTTGTTTTGGCATATAGGGGTTAGGGGGCAAGGTTGGGTTCTGGCGGCATACGTGCTTGGTACTTGGTACACACCTAGAGCAACGAAAGTTACATAGTGAAATGGATGGGGGTAAAAGAGAAAAGTGCTTGTGATGTTGAGCACCTGGAATGTGGTAGACATATGCTGCGGGAGTCTAGCTGTTGATTGCGATCAGCATTTGTAGTCTTCCGCCCCGAGTCTGACTCTCAACATACCGTTGAAACCTCCATCACAACATCTCACAGCCTGATGATGAGGCATACGGTAGAGATAAACCGCTTGATTCAGACATGGCAAGCCCCTGACTACCAAACAAACAATGCTAAGGGGTATTCATGGCCAAGTAGCAATCCCAGTGCACACCATCCGTGGTATCATACAGCACAGCCCAACAATGCACTCATGCCCCTTCTCGTCCTAGCCGGCCGCCAGTCACTCCCTGTTGCCATTACCATCCGTGGTCTGTGGCGGCTGCTGCTGCTGCTGCTGTTGTTCTCCGCCGTCCTTGCCTCCCAAAAACATCCTCTTGAAATCCGCATTGCTTTTGCTTCCAACCCCAGTTCCAGTTAGAGACCCAGCCGTGTTCGACTCAGTGCCATTCATACTACCATCCTTTTTCGGTAGGAAGCCCAATCCTCTTTTCCCTCCTCTGCCCACCGCTCCCATCAATGGCCTGCGTACCGTTGGCGGGGGCGGCATCAGCTCCGCCGCAGTAGCCGGTTTCTTCCCCGCACCAGTCGAACCAGCGCTGTCAGCCTTCTTCTCGGCTTTACTCTTGAACAGCTCTGTCACCGTCCCAGTCCTCAGTTTCACCCCGCCGTCCAGCTCATACCCCTCAACCGCCAACGCCGTCTTGCCAGCCGTGGTGGCATCTGCAAACTCAACCACCGCCCCGCCGTGTTTCGGGTGCAGCACCAACTTGACAATCTTTTCCTGCCCGCCAGCCAGCGGCGCCAGTACGCTCCGCACCCGCGCGTCATTCATAGTGTCGGGGATGCCCAAAACGGCGATGGTTCGGGCAGCGATCTCGGCCGGGGTTGGCGCAGCAGCGGAGGTGGACGGTCCCGGAGACGGCGAGCCTGCCTCGGATCCTGTAGCCCCACTTTTGGTGCCATCCATAGTCCGGCTGGTGGCGGTGGTCTTGGCAGTCGGCGGGCGGGATACCTCGACCTTGATAGGATGGTTCCCAAAAATCAGCTTGTCCAGCGTGCGAATGGCCGCCTGAGCCTGCTCCCTTGTCTCCATGACCACAAACGCCGTGCCGTGACTCTGCCCGGCCATGTTGCGCGGCACACGCACGCTCACCACATTCCCGGCCTTTACGAAGAGGCCGTGGACGTCCTCCTCGGACGCGTTGCGAGGGAGGTTGATGACGTGCAGCTCGCGCTCCTCAGCCTGGGCGCCTTGCCGGTTTTGCTTGGCCAATGGGTCGGAGTACTTGGCGAGGAGCTTGTACTTGCCGCCGTCGAGCGGTTTGCCATCGAGCTTTGTAGCGGCGGCGGCCGAGGCGCGCTCACGGAAGGTCATGTAGCAGAAGCGGCGCTTGGTGCTGTATTTGAGGCTGGGGAAACGGATGCTGAAAATCTCGCCACAATCTTTAAAGAGGTTGCGGAGGTACCGCTCATCGGCCTCCGGCGGGTAATTGGTGACATAGAGCGTGCAGTCCGTTGCGGCCGTTACCTGGACGACGCGGTCGTCAAAATACTTGCCATCGCGCAGCAAGGCCGACCTGGCGTCGTCGGGAGACCGGAATTCTACCAGGGCCACCGCAGCATCGTCCTGTTTCTGGATGTCGATGTTGTTAATGTGCCCATATTCACGGAAAAACTTCTTCAGTTTTGTCTGCGTTGCATCGGTAGGCAAGTTCGTGACAAATACTGAGGTATTCTCTCGGTCTCGCTTGAGTTCTTCCCTGCTCGTCTCACTTTTAGGCCGCTTGTTGCCGCTTTCGTCCTCGCCCGGCGTCGCCTCACGCTTTCGCTTGGACCCTGGGGAGGCGGCATCAGCGGCATCGGCGGCATCTGCCATGACGTGATCCATCGGCTGGACCTCTTGTGCGACCTGGTGGTTGGCCGCGAACTGGGCAGCCTGCTCAGCAGCCTGCGCCGCCTCGCGCTCGCGCCGCTTGGCTACGCCCTTGCGGGTCTTGTAAATTGTGTCCTGCGCCTCGCGTAGCGTCTCTGCGAGTTCGTAATCGTTGCAGTGGTTGAGATAGACCTCCATGATGCGCTCGGGCCAATCCAGCGTGCGCACCTTGAGCGCCCGTGTAAACACACGAGTCGCGAATGTGGGCACGCGCAGTCCTTGGGCTACGGTCGCTGGTGTTGGGCTTCGCGTCTTGCTCCTCGCTGTGGCGAAGACAACCATCTCCCACAAATACCAGTTGAGCCAGAAGTCGTAGCTGTTTGCGTGCAGCTCAATCCGGGATAGTTCATCCCACACTGCGCGCGCCCCCTCGATATCGTCCTTCTTTTCGGTCAGAAACTGGATAAAGATCTTCTCCAACCTGAAATCCGGGTCGCCCTGATACGCCTCGCCGTACTTGCGTTTACCCCAGTGCTTGACATCCTCTAAAGCCGACGGGAGTCCCACCTCGGCTACGTCGACGGCTTCTTCGCTGGCGTTGGGGTTCATAGCCGTTCGCTTGAGATAGCCGCACCAGGCGGCGTACATGTCGAGAACGCCGGCCATGCCGTTTCGATCCAGCTGTGCGCTATTGGTAGCAGCGTGCTTGATCCGCTCAATGTCGGTGAAGGGCAACCCAACCTCCTCGGCGGTCAGGATGTAACGCGCCCAGATGGGGCCCGACCACGGGACGTGGCGCACAGCGCGCTGCAGGACATCAAGCATGTTAGGGACCAAGCTCGAGGGGATCTGGGAGCGGCCGTTCTTGAGGTCAGTGTGCGAGGTAGATACCAGGACCGCAAGGTTGAGCCATGTGTCCTCGTCCGAAGCCAGGATCCCCGTGAGGGCGCGCGAGAATAGCCCAAGGCAAATCTGAAAATTCGCTACGGCGTCTTTTTTGGCTTTAGTCTGCCGGATTTCCCAGTTGAGGTAGTCGGTCATGATAGCGCGCAGCGCGGCCGCATCACGGGCTTTCTCGGCGAGCTGGAGCTTGGTCTCCCAGGGGTCCCGTAGGTCGTACAGGCGCTTCGCATCCCTTGCATTCTTGGTCACCTGCGCCATCTCGCTCTCGTATGCCTGGCGGTTGTATTCGGAAAGGAAGTTGGAGAACATCTGTGAGGTGGCATCCCAGGTGGCATGCGGCACGACGAGGCGGTTCTTGAACAGGTGTGTGATTCTCCGGATGCCGGCCTCGGTCGCGGTGCGCCTCAACAATTCCATCTCGAGCGAAACCCAGCGGTTCCAAAGCTCGTGGCTGTCGGACAAGCGGTACTGCACGGCCTCGTATCCCTGCTGCCACAGGTTGAGGGCGGCATCAAGGGTGAAGGTTTCGCGGCCGATCTGTTGCTCGTCGGGCGGCCAGCCGGCATCGCTGCCCGGTTGGCAGTCGGTGTAGAGCGACCAAAAGTACTCGCAGTAGGCCATCCACACCTTGAGGCTGCCGGGCTCGGCTTGCGTCGCGCGCTGGAAGGATTCGACGACGCGCACGCGGCCCTCGAGGTCGTTGGCCTCGCGCAGCTGTTGGTCGACATATTCGACCCAGTTGTCCTCCCCCACCGGGTTCGCCATTGTGCTAGCTCGCTGTCAGTAATAGCGAGTCATCGGATGGGCAATGATTTGATGCTTTTGGTGGGCGCGCCGGTAAATGTTGCCTAGAGGTTGTAGGGAGGAAGCGTTGGGTCAGGTGTTTGAGCAGGCACGATCGGCGAAGAAGGTGCACGCTGACTGTGCTGAAATTTGACAGGGAAGGCTCGGTCTGGACTCAGCTTAAACCCGGCCATAGCCCGAAGCTACACCAGGCTGCCCACGGCCCCTAATGCGTACAAATACCTTAACTAAAGCAAGACCGACGGGAGTCTGGAACTTTAGGCCAGTCGATTGCTGCACTGTTCCTGCCACACAGCTGATTGCATTAGGACGCGTGCACACCATCTTTTTGACCCCGGTGCCTGCCCCGTTTGATCAGTCATCCTTTCGGTCCGGCTCCGCGAAGAGACTGCCCAACAGAAGCTGATCCCCTTTTTTCATGTCAGGTCCCTGAAAAATGCGAAATCAAGGGGTCCACTCTGCTCGCACAGTTTGCGCCCTCCACCAGAACCCTTTGAACAAAGACGCTCCCACTGTTCTGGTATCAGAAAAGCGAGGGGAACGCTGTCACGCTAGCATTTTGCGCCATGGCTTCCAAGTGGGCTGTTTCGGGTCAGGTGGAGATTGCCATCCCGAGTCGCCGATTCTTGGCCGGCCTGTGCAACCTCCGAGCCCCTTTTGTGATCTTCGCTTGCACGACTCGAAGCTTTGATTTTGAATCCGCAGTTCTACACAGTACATACCTCCAGTACTGTAACGTTACTACGGATACGCTCTCCCGGTTCTCAGATAATTCTCTGGGCGTCCTGGCGTACTTCCGTGGATTGGATAAGAAGCTGGAGAGGCCGCCGGGGCCTGGGTTTTGCCGATCGCGCTGATCTCACCGTCCCCAGCCAATGAGGGACTCCTGTGGTCCCTCCCGCAGGACCCTTACTCTCACGGTATGCGTCGTGAACTTGATGCGCGATCAAACCGAGAGAATTTGAAGTGAGTCGTGTCCTTTGCCTCTGTATTGTATATACATATCTACAATACACTTCTGCGCTCCGTTGCTTCGGTCGTCCTCTTCTCTTTCATGTCTCAGCGCAGATTTGACAAGGATCCTATGACGTAATGGTGCATCTGTGGAGTGCCGTCATATCCGAGTCTAGGCCCCGTTCCTTTCCCCACATCCACTGGAAGTTTTAGCAAAATGTCGCGTCATCCCGTTGGCTCGTGCCGGCAACGCCCAAATGTAACAGCGGGAACAGTGCGGATTTTCACCCGGATGGTGGCTCGGAATATCGAAGTCAGGCCGCCATCAGACTTGAGGGACGATGGGCTTTTCACTGGGGAGATGTTGAACCGAAGAAGATTAGCAGACCCTGATACCAGGTTGATGGAGCAGAACTCGATGTCTGCTACTCAGAAAACAAATCGCGTTGCTGACATAATGTGCTGCAATTAGGTACTTCAAGGCATCACTTCAAGTTGAAGAATGAAGATACCTACACAATCCCAAGAGTACTAGCGGCGAGGGTTAGTGTCTCCAACACTTCTCCCGCCGAGGCCACTGGTCAGGAGTCACGACAATCGAAGCTCCAACAATTGCTCAACCGAGCCGGGTCTTGGAGGCCAACTTGACTGGACAGAGTCAGTCAGTACGTAATGTGGTTCAAGTTGTTCGCTCGTGCATCCATTGTCACTCGGGGAGTCAGGGGCCACTACTATCCAACAGGTACTAGTAGGTTCAAGTGCGGTTACTCAATCACGAAGAATTGGAATACTGACTTAGAAAAGGCCTCTATGTCCATGATCACCTGTAGGTCATAAGTCAAGTTGCCCTTCCTACTTTCACCCCCCACGGGTAGTGGAGTGGTAGGAGAAGGCGACCACAACATACCAGACGTACCAGAGGGTAGTTCGACTCCCCTCGCTCCCCAAGTTTATCAGATACTGGAACGTCTGGAGCTGCCAGTTTCAACAGAGAATTCATGGTCTGCAGAAGTCTGCAGAACATGGATACTGCAGTCTCGTGAATGAAACTTTCGAAACCGAAGCTGGGCTGAGTCCCAAGTTTATCCGCTTGCGAACCTCGGAAGATGATATGCCAAGCGGCTGTTGCTATCTAAACAGCCCTTACACGGGCAACATAGTGGGAGTTGTGGTTCACCAATCCGTTCGTCTTTTCAAATCCGACCCGCATCCGACACAAAGCAATCTTCGGTACGTGGTTTATGATTGGATGTATACAGGGCAGGGGGAGGGAAATGATAGTAAAGTCCAGCCACCGGACGGTACATGTTTTTGGATTTGGACCTTGAGCTCCTCGTCTTCGTCGTTGAACCAGTCGGCGATGGCCTCGGCAAAGGACTTTATCGACGAGTGCGAAGCGGGATACCTTGGTTTTCCCGTCCAGTGGCTTTCGATTGACCGCCGGATAACGGGCAGAATGGCACATTCACCTGCATCTTAGTAGGTCAGACATTCATTAGCGAGTAGGGAAGCTGTACTTCCCGCATGAGACCAGCTACTTAGCTGGGACAACATCAGCGCCGACAGTTTGTCACAGGCTGCGTGATATCCGGGAACCAATCCCGAGTATTTGGACCACTGCAGCATCATGTGTTCCTAGCAGAGGAAGGGGGGTCTCTGACCCCATGTTCTGTCTCATGACATTGTAGTCCGGCACTAGCAAGTCCTGCCATTATATAAACATTAGGACACCGGCTAGGAAACATTATGACACCGGCTAGGTACTATGATGTTGTCATGAAGAATCTCAATTTGCTAGTGCCGGACTACAATGTCATGAGACAGAACATGGGGTCAGAGACCCCCCTTCCTCTGCTAGGTATGTTGGAAATGCCTGGCCAAATTGACCAAACAACGAAAGAGAAGTGCTATAGAGACTAGTACCACGTTGGGTCGTCAGTGCTGGGTCGTAATCGAGAAGGAATTGTACGAATGGTTCACTGGAAGTTTGGTGACAGTGGATTTTGGAGGGCATATCTCAGGTACAAAGGGCAAACCGAAGGACTGTTAAGAGGGGTACTCGAGAGGACAAATTTTACATACAAATTTTGAGCCACACTAACAGATGTCCTGCGCTCCCAAAGGACCGCAACTCCGACAGGTATTGCCAGATTTCGATGGTCCCCTAGCACCAACCCCGACCATTGGGCCCTCCAGTCTTATTGATCATGGTCGTCACCAAATCTTTCACTATTCACGAAAATCTCATGAATCCATTAACGTACAATACCTGCAATTCCATGTTAGGGTTCATGCCAGGCGACCTTGAATTCCAGACATCGCCAGAGCACTTACCGTGTCGCAGGATAAGGTACTGGGAGCGCATTGGATGTGGGCTGGAGTGGAACATGAACTAATCCTGTTGGTAGCCTAGGTATGGTTACAATGGAACACTTGAAGAAGGACGGATATACCCGCAATTGCAGCTGAACCCCCTCAGGTGACGACCACAGTTCTACCGCGGGCCGGGGGGACTCCAGGGGTGGACTCCCGTCATTGAATATAGCACACCCTTTGTCAGGTTGAGGTCATAGGTACAGTAGTACTACTTACCTACGTACCTCGGGTGCAAAGCAGCAGCATGTCCCTCTCCTCCGTTTACTCTTAAATCAGCATTTGTACAGGTTGAGAGCAATTGGTGAATTTGATTGCTCCATAATCAAGAACAACCCGATCGGTTGTCCCTCAAGACTATAAAGAGTCGTCCAACATGCCACCGCCAAACCTCTCCCGTGTCACCCCTCTCATCCCGGCGGCGGGCGCCAACCTGGCCCGTACACGACTTTCACTTCATCCACCGGCGATGGCGCTTTGCATCCAACAGAAACGCAATGCTTCATTTTCCGGTAAGCCCGACCCGGAGGACATGGGTGGCCCCGCCGGCCAGGAGAGTTTCCCCGCGAGCTCCGGCAAGCGAAGGTACGTTGAACTGGTGTCCATTTCAATTGGCATGGAAGCCCTTTGGGTGTTTTGGAGATGCTGATGCCTGCGGGTATGAACTGCAGGAGAATCGAGAAGATTACCCTCTACGGCGTACTCGGCGCGTGCTCCATCATGTTGATTGCCAAGCTGGCGCAGCGGAATTCGGATCCCAACGCGAATTACGTATTGGTACATGATTCGACGAAAGGAGAACTTGACGATGTCAAGTACATCAAGGCTCCTGAAGTGCCCAAGCCCTAAGGAGACCCGAAAATCCAAGATCACGTAACTCAAACTCGCTGGGATTTAACTTTGGACTTAGGCGTGTTTATGGCAGGCATTCTATGAGAGGGGGGACAACTCTGATGATGGATGGATTAGTGGCCGTTTAGGCGTTTTTTATGGGTATATGTAGTGTAAAAAGGAAACTGATTCCGTTAATGTTTGCTGCGGCCAGGGAGAATCACGGTGTTGAAGACAATGACGTCATGATGACGTCTCAATACAAACGTCGATTGAAATCGGCAAGCGCTGCAGCTGTTTCAGTTGATCAGACGCATTTGCAACACCTCCATCACCTAACCGACAGCCGACCGGCACTCGTCCGTTTTGTGCGGTGTGTGGCTGACAGAAATGGGAATCCCGTACTCGAAACAAATCCACTCAGCCTTCGATCAGGTCACACCCTTTGTCGCATGCGGATTCAGGGTGTTGGAGAAAATACGGGACATATCGATACTGGTTGCCCTGATCCAGCTCCTTACATGCTTCTTCCTTTCGCTGATTCTACTCACATTACTTGGACTGCTCATCACGGTGAATCCGGATCTTGAGTTGGAACGGCAGGCTATCGTGACACCAACTGTGAAATGGATTGCCTCGTGGGTGAGCGATCGCGACGAGAGGCGGTGGATTGAGGTTTTGTTGTTCGTTGTTCTCGGAGGGGTCGGCTTGGGGGCTTCGGCGGGATACTACACGATGCAGGAACACGTTTTGCCAGCAAATGGCAATAGAGTCACTGAGGAGGTTGCTGATGAGGTGGTGGAAGGAGCTGTTGCACAAGGAGGTAGTAGCTAATCCAAATCACAGAATTCACCTGTGATATAGAGCAAAGCTTTAGAGAAAATGTCAACACCAAGACTCAATGTATATCTACCCGATCTAATTGGCTGGCATAATGCTCCCGTGAGCTTCATCCGATTTTACTGACAAGTTTGTGTTGCTAGATAGAGCCTATAAGGTTTCAGGAAGAAGAGAGGACGAATGAGCATCTCTGGACTTGCACGGCAATGCGAGTGCAGGGTGGGTGACTGGGTGTGCCATGACGTATTCCAAGACGTCGACCGCGAACCACGTTCAAGGGGGTTCTCAAGGCCCAAACACGATCCGGCAGTAATCTTGGCATTCCCGACGCCGTCAGCGTGTAGGTGTGCATGTGCATTGCAGTCTTTTCCAATCATTGCGCTGCGAGCAAACCTGGAGCTTCTCGATTGGACAGGTCCGGTTGCGTGTTTGAAGATCCGGGCATCATGACCCCTGCCAGTGGTTGACGTGGGATGCCATGGCTTGACTTCGAGATAATGGATGCGCCGAAAACTTGGAAGCATCATCATATCATGTGGTTGTGGTTTGCAGTGTCGACTCACCCATACTTTATAAGCACTCCCTTACTGCCAGAGCTGATCGTCATGTTTTCATTCTCAACCTTGCATTGGCATATTCAATTGTACACCAGGGCAGTCGTCCACCCGGGAAACCGCACATAACTGTTCTCGTGTAAACATCACACAGCTCACCATCCTCTTTACGGATCAACTTCCTGCTGTTGCACTTAGCGGCAACACATTCTGCCGAAGACATGGCTCGCGGAGACACACGCGCCCGTACGGGCCTTGACACCTTCCTGCTGGCCAGCACTGCCCTAGTATGGGCCTCTGCCGTGATCGTGATGGGCATCCTGGCCTATCTTGTCTCTCGAGGCTGGGGAGGAGATCACGTAATTTACGAGCTTGTCATTGTGAGTCGTCCGACCATCCCGTTCTCGCCCTATAGGTGGTATTCCCTGAAAACTTATGGGATTCACTAACCGGCAATGTCAATGATTTAGTCCGTCTTGACAACCGCCTTCTACCTCTTTGCCTTCTTCCTCGGGGCCTATCCCGGCTACGTTCTCCTCTTCAACCTCATCTTCTCGTACCTATGGCTGGTTGCCGTCTCCTTCACGGCTTCGGACTGGACCTATAGCAACAGTGCTCTCCTGCATACTGCCGAGGCCTTCAGCTTCATTGCATTGTAAGTCTGACCTGCCAGAACAAGAGGCCTGTTGACCTCTGTGTGCAACCCGACATGACGCTGACTCTTGAGACTAATTGTTTAGCTTCTTCCTGTTCTTCAACGTACTCTACGACTGGCACTATGGATTCTACCGGGCTCGGACCAGGGCGGTTGTTTAAAGACACCACTGGGATCTCGGTTCGGGGTATTTGGGACGGTTGAAGTCCCCAAAAGGCTTCGGCCACGACCAATAACCGGCTTTTGCGCCTGCCTCACTTGAGTTGATAATTGACGACATCCAAGCTTTGGGGAGCGAGAAGGGGAAGCAATGATTTACTCGGTCACTTGATGCCGTAATGTTATGTATGAGGACGGAGCTCGGGCATAGAATGGAGTTTAACGGACAGCGAGCGACTTTCATAGTTCATACCCCTTTGCTTTGAGTACCTACTAATTCTACCTACACTAATTTATCTGCGCGATGCCCAGCCTTTAGGAGTGCATTACGTTACATTTTATGTGCAGATATTGGATGCAGACACGGGACGGAATATATCCTACACAAATAGTACATGTTTGGTGTCAGCTTAGGCCCTCCTTTGAGCTCTTCACCATCCCCAACACTCCCACCCTCCGTCCTCCTTTCCGTCTGAATCCGCCATTTCACTTGGGTGCAGAGGGCCAAGATGGCGAACGCAGCGGCGATCGAAAAGACGGAAAAACTGCTTCAGGAGTTGCGTGTTTATGATGGTTCATCTTCAACTCAAGCAGCCCTGATTCATCAGCTGGACGAAATACGGAACTCCTTACAACAGCCCCGCGAGATTGCCAATTATTACATCAAGAAGGCGAGTGCTTGTCTCCGCGTCGCAGTGACAAGTTAAAAGCGGTGGATGGACTCGAATTCGATCTGACTGACGTATGTCAACCTCGTTACTAGGGCCTCGTCTTGATCATTATCAACACCTGCGTAGAACTGGGTGTCTTTGACGCAGTGCTTCCAGATACCCCAGCGTCGGCTGAGGATATTGCGGACAAAGTCGGGGTCGATGCGTCTATTCTGAGTCGGTTCCCGAGTTCTGGCTTCTTACCCCTGAATCCGGACATACCCATCATCTCAGTCGCTGACTCCTTTTGACACCTAGCACGGTTTCTGCGGGCTCCCATGGTAGAAGGCTTCTTTTCCCTCGCCGCTCCGGATGGAAACAAGCCGCAAAACCCTCCTTCCAGCCCATACCTCTACCGCCACACGCCCGCTTCACTCTCCCTGCGTGGCCTGCCCGCCCATACCTGGTGGCGCACGGCACTCACGCTCCCCATGAGCCGGTTTTGGCGCACACCGGACTACATTCGTAGCCACAGTACAGCCGAACTGCAAGATTCGCGCCATAACGCGCTGGCCTGGGCGATGGGCTTGGAAAGTGAAGGGCTGACTTTTTTCGAGGCTCTTGATAGGGACAAGCAGTACGCTGGGTTTTGGTGGTCTGCAATGGGAATGGCAGAGTATGGATTTGGTTCGTTCCCCTGGGCAAAACTGTGGGAGGATGTTTCCCGAAAACAAGATGGGCGGGATCGAGTGTTTGTTGTGGATGTCGGTGGGGGACGCGGAAAGAGGTTGGTGGAAATCATACGAGAGCTTGGTGAAGTGAAGGATAAGGAACCCAGCCTGAAACCAATGATGGTACTGGAAGACCTGGGAGGTGTCATAGGAGGCGAGACGCCAGTTAGCATTGAGGGAGTTAAGAATGTGGTGTATGATTTCTTCCAGCAAGGGGCAGAGCAGCCGGTGAAAGGTGAGACCTCATCTTCCTTTCAGTGAGAGAGCATGCTAAGCCAGCATCACAGGTGCCCACGTCTACCATCTGCGCCACGTTTTGCACGACTACTATGACGAGAAGGCTCGTCAAATCCTGAAGCAGGTTGTTGACGCCATGAGGCCAGATTCTCGAGTAATTCTCTGCGAATACATCATCCCCGAAGAGCATGATCTTGGTCATGAGATCTTTCCATATGTCATGGACTTTCTGTTATTCCTGGCTGGAGGGTTGGAACGAACCCACCGGCAGTGGCAGCAGTTGCTCGACAGTGTCGGGCTGGAGATTATGAATATTTGGCCGAGCAAGGATGGTCACCCTGAGGTAGACATTGAAGCCTGTTTGAAGGATACAAAGCCTGAACGGAGCTTGTAGTCTCAGTATCTGAAATTACAAGTCAAATCCAATCTTCCCGAGTTTTGGCTTGACCGGATTCTACAGACACAGAGCACAGAGCCACGGTCATTATTATCACAGTCAAGGTAGACCTAGGCTAATACGGTAACGCATTTCGAGACTGAGTACATGACTGCGGAAATGATCCGTATATGATCTGGTGGCAGTGCCTACCTATATATGGGTACAATCATAGTAGACACTGTCTTTCCGCGCTCTGCAGTTTAAGTAGATGCACTAATCATGTCTACACACCTGCGTCTCATGATGACCTTCAATACATTCACTCATCAACCTTATTCATGACTGCCTCAACACCCCTGACGCGCCCGCTCCCGTAATAATTGTCAGAACATGAAAGACAAGCCAGAACTAGCTAATCCCTCTACAGTGTCGTCAACTCTGGCGTTCCTTCGGCGCGCGGCAGTGAGAACTTGGTCTCAATATAGACCTTTTGCATCGAATCGTCCTTGGCGTCGAACTTGTGATAGACTTTGTCCAGGTCCTCCAGTCTGAATCGGTGTGAAAGCATCAGCTTGGTGTCCAGCTGGCCCGACTGGATCTTCTGCAACAAGTTCTTCCAGTACTTGTGCACAGGCGCTTGGCCGTTGCCTATCAGGCGGATGCCGCGTTGCATCAGCGAGCCGATGTTGAAATGGTTTGTCTATAGCGGGAGGTTAGCGGCGGGACTTCAGTCGGGATCAGGTGTTCAGTATGAACTTACATATCCCACATAGACACCCGTGATACCAGCGCGGCCGTAGTTTCGGACCCCTTCAACCATCTCGTTTATAATCTCACTTGTGTCTGTCTCGGCGCCAAGAGACATTTCCAGCCAGTGCATCCAGCCCTTGGCATACTCGCCCGCAGCACACTCAATGGCCACGTCCGGCCCACGTCCGCCACAGAGCTCTTTGAGCTTGCTGACGACCGTTTCCTTGTTCGTGACGCCAAAGCTGAGCGTCTTGAAGTCAACCAGGACGAGTTTGTCTTTGTGCTCAGCGGGCCACCGTCCAGAAACGAAGGATAGACGGGGTTCAGTATCCACAAAGATGACCTTGCTCGCTCCCTCTTCGATGGCGAAGTGGCCGGCCATTTGGCCGATGGGGCCAGCACCAAATATTGCCACCTGGTCGCCCGGGTAGACGGCTGTGTCCTTGACAGCGTTATAGGAAGTCGGGAGCACATCAGAAAGGAATAGGGCTGTGAAATAGTTAGTCCAGCCTCGGTGAGAACTATCAGAAGGATGGCGCCCGTAATCGTACCTTGCTCATCGGGAACATCATCAGGAATCTCAAGCAAATTGACATCCGCAAGCGGCACCCTGACATACTCTGCCTGCCCACCAGCAAAACCTCCTGTCAAATGCGAGTAGCCAAAGATACCAGCCGTCCGCCCGCCGTACATCGCTTTTGTCTGCGTGTTGGAATTCGTCACCTCGCACTGGGACGAGAGTTGTTGCTTGCAATAAAAGCACTTTCGAAGACGTCTGTGTCAGCCCATCGTTGGTAGCCAAGCCGTCAATACTTGAAAACGGAAAAGGGATTATCGTACCTCTCCGCAGGCAATCTGGAACGACACAACGTATCGTTTTCCAACCTTGACATTCTTTACCGCCGGGCCGACTTGGTCAACAATACCACAGAATTCATGCCCAAGGATGTCGCCCTTGTTCATCTGGAGAATTACTCCTGTCTCGTTGTTAGAATCATGCTCGTGGACAGAACCCTCAGTCGGCGAGGTCGTTATGATGCCTCACCATGGAACAAGTGGAGATCGCTCCCGCAGATTGTGCTTCCGGTGACCTTTAAGATCACATCGCGGTCATCTAGTATCTTGGGCTTCGGGATGTGGACTACAGAGAAGAATCTCTCGTTAACAGACGCTCGTAATACATGCTGGGGACGTACGAGAACCTACGAATCTGCACATTCTTCTTGCCTTGCCACACTAGGGCCTTCATGGTCTCATTCGGCTCCCCCTCTCCGGCTCCTTTGTAATCGGAAACATCCTGTTTGATATTCTCGTCGCCGTGACCAATGATCTTCTCGGCAGCGTACGCCGCACGCGCTGTTGCCATTGTACTGGTTGTTTCTGTTTAGGGTAGCCGGGTCGATATGGTCTGAAGACTTGAGATATTGAAGACTCGGATAATGGAATGAAATCAGGGGCTCCAATTGACAAACATGTCGGAAACACGAAGGAATTTGGACGAACCAATCTCTATATAATGTCAAGAAGCTGGCAAGCGATGGCACCTAAGCAGGTACCAAACCTGTAATCCATCGGGCATTTGCCCATAATGGACCATAAGTGAATATGATGACGATACGTAGCCGTCATGCTCACCTTATGATCCGACGTTAAGAAGATACAGAACGACGTCATACACGAGGTGAAAGTTGCCTTGTGGGGATTGGCGGGAGGACCCGCAGAAAGACGTTGCTTGGGGGCGCGGTCCGACAGCCAATACCGGAAACGCGTTGATCGATAAGATAAGCTACCCAAAGAGCACCCTCGTACAGTTACCTTAAGGCCCCCCGACTTTGCTGTGACGGACACTGCAGCGCTCTTGGTTAAAAGAACAAGAAGAAATGCGAAACTGCCCCGAGCCGATCGAAGTGGTTTACCAGGCAGTGCCGTGACTGCCGTCTCGTGTTGGGCTTGTCGGCGTTGCATGTTTCAGGGGTCAACCGCCCCACGTGGCGGCCCCACATGTTCCTCCCGAGGGGAAGGCGCCACGCCAGAAACGGCACTTGGAAGTTTGGACCTCACTGCAGCCCTTGACTTCATAAAGTGTCGCTGCTGAGCTGTTCAGCATCCCGTCACATTGTGCCAAGCCAATGGCAGCCCAAGAGACAGCAGAGAGCAGCAGTACGCGGACGCTACGAGGCGCGTCACTCTTGATTTTGCTGCAGGTTGTTTCGCGTGCCATCACCTTCATCGCGAACCAGCTGCTCCTGCGCTTCTTGACAGCTCAGCTGCTTGGCGTGTCGGCCCAGCTCGAGGTATACTACTTATCCGTCATTTTCTTCGCACGTGAGAGTCTGCGGGTTGCCATTCAAAGACAGGACTCCTCTGACGCCTCTTCATCGAAACCACCACCGTCGAAAGGCAGCAGCACTAAGCCAGAAAATGGCACCAACAAATCCGCCCAAGCCGTTGTCAACCTCGGATACATCTCCCTTGTCCTTGGTATCCCGCTCCCTATCTTCTTCGGATGGCTCTATCTTAACTCCCTGAGTTCCGCCACACTCTCATCGGCGCCTAACCTGATCATCTCCCTCTACATTTACGCCATTGCCGCCGCGGTAGAGCTCATCTCAGAGCCCGCCTTTGTCGTCATGCAAAATCGTCTGCAGTTCGGCACCCGCGCGACGGCCGAGTCAGTCGCCACCTTCTTGCGCTGTCTCGTCACTCTTGGTTCCGCCGTATGGGGCGCCAACGCGAACCGCGAACTCGGCGTCCTTCCTTTCGCCTTGGGCCAACTTAGCCACGGAATTGGGCTGCTTGCCGTGTACCTCTGGCATGGCACACGGCTTGCCAAGAAGGAGAACTTCTCCCTCCTGCCAAAGCGCATCTCCGGCAACCCTCCTCCCATCAACCGAGCAAGCCAGCCAACCAAGAACCTGGCAGTGGAAAGCCCACAATTCATCCTATCCTACTTCTACCGCCCCACCCTTCAGCTTGCGTCAAGCATGATGGCCCAGAGCGTAGTCAAACACCTCCTGACCCAAGGCGACACCTTCCTGGTCAGCATCCTGTCCAGCCCAACCGCGCAGGGCGTCTACGCCCTGGCAAACAACTACGGTGGCTTGCTCGCCCGGCTCGTCTTCCAGCCCGTCGAGGAGAGCAGCCGGAGCTACTTCAGCCGGCTGCTGGCGTCCGAGTCTCCGACCGCCACCACCAACCAACCTACCAAGCAGACCTCGGCAGCCGCCCAGCAGGCCGCATCCGCCCTGCAGTCCCTTTTCAAGGCCTACTCTCTCCTCTCCCTGGTAATAACCGCCCTGCTCCCACCCACAGCCCCCCTCGTGCTTGCGCTGGTAGCGGGGCCGCGCTGGTCCGGTTCCGGCGCGGGCGCCTGCCTCGCCGCGTACGCCTGGTACATCCCGCTTCTCGCCATCAACGGCGTTGCCGAGGCGTTTGTTGCTTCAGTGGCGACCGAGGCCGAGGTGCATCAGCAGTCGGCTTGGATGGGTGTGTTCAGCGTCGTGTTTGGCGCGGCCGGGTTTCTGTTTTTGCGGGTGTGGGATATGGGCGCCGTCGGCCTGGTGCTGGCGAATGGGATTAACATGGCTTGTCGGATCGTGTGGTGCGGGGTCTTCATCTTGAGGTTCTTCAGGCGGAAGGGGGTGATGGGTTTGGGGCTTTTGGACGTGTTACCTAACCCGGTGGCGTTTCTAGCCGGGGTGATTACGTCGCAAGCGCTAAAGATGTCTGTACCTGTCGTAGATGCGGAGGGACCAGCGGCAGGAAATGCTCGAAAGCTTATTGTTGAGCTCTTCAAGGCGGCGGCCGTCGCGGTACCGTTTCTCATGGTTGTGTAAGTCATGCCCTTGGCTCTGGTTTTGTGCTTATCTCCTTCATACTTGCAAATCTATTTACTAACGGAAGCAGTGCCGTTTCTGAACGCGAGTTCCTATACGAGGGCATCCAGACACTCAAGGGGACGCGCCAAATCAAGTCGCCATAGGTCCCGGGTATACTCCGTGGTCAAAACAAGTCCGTACAATGTCATACCCCTCGGCTCTAGTCGAACGTGATCTTGGTCCCCTTTTTGCTCATGTCCACATCCTTAAAGAAAGCGCCATATGTGTCATGCCCCTTCTTCTTGACGGTCGTGCCAAACTTGAGAAGCTCGTCGGGCACAGGCTGCTTAGCCGCTCTCAAAACGTTGATGAGCCTGCAACCGCAATGTAAGTATCGAAACGGATGAGATATTGGTCCACAGCTCAAGTCAAAAACTTACGATCCAGAATGCGCCTTGTCATGCTCCGTAAACAGGGTAATGGCCTTGCCCAGTTTGCCGGCCCGGCCCGTCCGGCCGATACGGTGGACGTAGTCCTCGATGGTCAAGGGGAACTGCGGGCTGTTAGCAAGTCAAGATCCAAGAATGAATACCTGGAATCGGCACCCACCGTCACATTGATGACGAGTTTGACTTCAGGAATATCAAGACCACGGGCGGCTACATCAGTCGCAACTAGCACGCTTGTTGTTCCCGCCTTGAACGCCTCAAGGCTGCGGGTCCGCTGGTCCTGCCGCAAGTCGCCATGGATACTGGCGACGCGCACCCCGTTTCTCTGAAGGAACTGTTCCACTCGCACAGCCTCCTTCTTGTACAAGCAAAATACCAGTATCCTGTCGTTCTTGGCGCTGCCCTTCGTCGCCTCACGGAGCAGCTGCAACAAACGCTGTTCCTTGCCGCGGGGATCAACGACCTCCACCTTTTGCTCGATGCGGCTATTGGCTTGCAGCTCAACTGTTCCGTTGCCCTGGCTGTCTCCGTCGCCGCCTGCACGGGTTCGGTTGCCAATCGTGACCTTGACAGGGTTGACCATGAAGCCCTCCGCCAGACCTTGCACGCTGGTGGGCCAAGTGGCTGTGAACATCAGGGTCTGTCTCCTCTCACGCGGCGGGCAGCTCCCGAGAATGAGCTTAATGTCCTCCTCAAACCCCTTATCAAGCATGCGGTCGGCTTCGTCCAGCACGGCAAACCTGACATCGGAGAGCGATACACAGCCCTCGGAGAGGAAATCCTTGAGCCGCCCGGGCGTCGCAACAATAATGTCAGCCCCGCTGTTCTTGCGCAGCAAGGTGCGCTGATCATCTTTGCTGGCGCCGCCGTACAAGCACACGGCGGACAAGCCCACCAGGGAGGCGAGCGAGGACATGGCGGCGTGGGTTTGCATGGCGAGCTCGCGGGTTGGCGACACCACCACAGCGCGGGCATACGCTGTTTTGTCTTTTTTTGAGTGCTTCGCCTTGGGGCTGGAGGCAAGCAGCTCGACACAGGGAAGAGCAAAAGCTATTGTCTTGCCTGACCCTGTCTCTGCGATGCCAATCACGTCGCGGCCGGAAAGTGCGAAGGGCCATGATGCGGCCTGGATCGGAGTCGGCTCGGTAAAGGTCGCGAAAGGGTTTTTGGATAGCAACGGCGAGGTTGGCAGGTGTGAGAACTGCATCACCGGACGCAGATTGCTGCTCGACGGGTCGGAGATTGCGATCTCCTTTGCCTTTAGGAAATCTTGGATCTCAACTTCCGACACGGCATCGAGAGCGGCCGTCTGCTTGTACGAGTAATTGCTTGCGTTCGGCTGGGCATCTTGGATACCATTCACTGCGGGCGCGGGTTCAAGGTCGGTCGATTCGGCTGTACCAGTGCCATTGGACAACCCATTCTGCTCTCTTGATTTGGATTTCGACTTCTTGCTTTTCTCAGGCTTAGTGTCGCCATCCGCAATCGACGTTTCGCCAGTTTCGTTCCCAGTTTCCCCGGTGCTCTGTTCCGGTTCCTCTCTCGTTTTCTTTTTCTCCTTCTTCTCCTTCTTTTCCTTCTTCTTCTTTTCCTCCTTGTTTTCTGACTTGTCCTTCTTTTCCTTCTTTTTCTTCTTCTTTTCGGCCTTTAGAACGGAGGGATCGCTATCAATCGGGCTGCTGTCTGCGGTACCGACTGTCTTTTGCTTTTTGGAGACACGAGCGCCTTGCTCCTCACCCTCGCTGCGAGCATGTTTCTTTCCCGCCGACATATTGTCGTATTTTCGCGAATTGGGAAAATGCTTGTGTATGAGAATCTCTTGAATGCTGCAACTTCCCTGGGGTCGATAAGTTGTCGCATTGAAATTTCAGATTGCTTATCTTTGCTTATCGATAACGCTATAGTAACCTTGACTATTTGACAAGGGTCCGTACTCCACAGTTTTAAACTCACCTCCAAACCTCACTGTCACGGACTCACGGTGGGCAATTTCAGCCCTGACTTCAGCTGTGGACTGCTGCCGAGGTGGTTTCATTGTTCTTCGAGGCCTTCTCCTCGAGTACCACCAAAACGGCACATTGGAAATGGCACTAAATTCGCCAGGACCTGAGATGAACGGCAGGTGGCGACGCTGGAGCCTCCAGATCACCAGAGCGCTTGCCTGCCTTCATGAGCATGGAATTCCAGAATTTCTCATATGGACATCAAGTCTTCCAATGTCGTCATCAGTGCCGACATGAACGCGGTGCTCATCGACATCAGCGGCATTGGCGGCGGCACGCGCCAGACGCCAGTGGCTCTTCCAGTCCCCAGAGATGCTGCAAGAGAGGATCCGATGTTCCAGGGCTTCGAGGCACGTAAGCAAAACGATATCTTGGCCCCTGGGCAAATTCTGCTTGCTATGGCCGAAGCGTCTAGTGACAGGGACGAGGAGCAACTGCTAAGGAGCATTTCGCTATCTGCTACACGGACCCCTCCACGAATTCCCTTGAGTGAAGCCATCAGCCGCTTCTCGAAGTATGCTTCTTGAGCCCTTTACAAATACTTCCAGACAACCCCGTGTTATTTGACCCTCCGTGCGTCATGTTCGGTGTGGGAGAAGTCTATCAACGGCATCGTTAAAGAACAGGGAGCGGAGTTCAGCTAACTGCCCTGGGCCTTTATGCTAACGAACCAACAAGGGTGTCTTGTGCTGAACTTATTGAAGTAGGACTTGACTGCGTCTTAGCTCTTACAAGGAGATTACAAGCGCGCGCCAAACGAGAGACACCCTTATAAACCAAACACCTCCCGGTTCTTCGAATATCTCGGCCACCACCAGCCACCAGGCCGTCATCTTCCTCGCTGCTCTGACCATTCCAATCTAACCCATTTACATAGGGGACATATGCTCTTGGCCAGGCAGGTGTTGCAGCCCTAACCACGGGGACACACATACGTTAGCACCCACTCAGCCTATACCCACAACACAGTAAGGAAAAGTGGGAAACAAAAAGAGGTACTCACAGCCCTCGGTGTCCTCTCTGACAACCGTCTTGACTTGGCACTTGTTGGCCTTGTCGAAGCCCTGGGTGGTCAGGCCGCGGCAGGTCGGGCCGAAGCAGTTGTTGTCCATGGCGTGCTGCAGCGAGTCGTCCTTCCAGCCAAAGACATAGTCGCCGTGTTGGCCGTAGCCGGTGCTAAGTATGACGAGTCGTGGTTAGAGGTGAGTCATGACATGGATGAGCGATAAAGAAGAATGGGAAGGGTTGTTGGTGCTGTGGTGTTGGGTGGCTCAGGGGTGAAAGGGGGTGAAAAGTGGTAGATCGGGAAAAGGGGCGAAACATTCGGTTGGGGTAGGTGAGCAAGGGAACGATAAGAATGGCGCATCTGTGCTGGGAATTCAGGAGGAAATGCCGGGGCACTCACGGGTCGCCGTTGCTGAGCACAAATGGCTGCGAGCCATCCTCAGGCCATTCGTTCTTGTTGTTGAACTTGGTGGTGTCCCAGACGATCTAATGCCGTTCAGTCAGGCCCTTCGCTGTCAAAAGTCCAACCAGCATGGCTACGTACCTCGTAGTGCACCTGGGGAATCTTGACGGGGTGGCTGGCCGGGCACTTGCCGTTGACTACGGCAAACGTGGCCGGGCCATCGACCGGGTGGGCGACATGGTCCTTGTGGTTGGGGGTATCCAGGTTCTTGCCGTCCCAGCAGCTGGACAATGTCAGTACCAAGTCCAAGATACCTTATTCTATCTACTACTTACATGGGGAAGATGACACTCGACCGGATACCACCGGGGCACGGCTGCTTCGGGAACGTCTCGGTATCGCGCTGGGGATCCATGCAGGGCGAGTAGATGTTGCCGCCAAAGTTAGGGCCCGTGTAGCAGCGGAAGCAGCTTTGCATGTTGCGTCCAAGCCCTGACGAGGTACGACGAGCGGCGTCGCCCGAAAACATGCGGAAGCCCTGAATCCCTGGAGTGTTAGCCTTCACTCCCCCCGAACCTAAACCGTCTCGCAACAACTTGCCGGCTTGAATGCAGTCACGGTGTTTGGCCCAGGAGCAGTGTAGTAGACGGTGATGCCCGCGTTAGCAGCTCCAATGGCGTCGTTCACCATCTGCGGCACACGCTTGTAGGTGCCGTTGCGAGCCTTGAAATACACGTTGGCGGTCCAGTAGTTGGAAAAGTCCTGGTCAAACGTGCATGTTGTGCAAGTGGCAAGCTTGGAAATGTCCGTATTAGGCATGCTCGCGTTGAAAGCGTTCTGTAGGACGTTCAGTCAGCAAGCAGCTACAACGCGATGCCAATGTCGAAGCAAGGACTCATACTCCTCCGACGACTTGGTGAACGTGTGCCGACGGGATGCTGCCGGGCTCAACCAGACTGATCCTGAGTTAGAATATTGTCTTGTTCAAGGATTCAGTGCCAACCTACGGGTCGATCCGGTCTATCACGACCTGAGAACAGCCAAAACGAAGCATGGTGGTGCTAAAGCCCTGCGCCTGAACGGCGGCAGGGATGGCAAGGAGTGTCAATGAACGCATCGTGTCAGATTTCTCTTGACTGAAGCTCTTGAATACTGCGGTTGACACAACTAGTACTACAAGCTAACGAGTTGAACTGTGGCCGTCACGAGAAGAAAGGAGAGGGAAGTCCTGTGGGTTCCAACAAGCCCTACGGTCTCTTTTGAAGACATACAGGCTGGGAAAGAACACGATCCTCGCGTATTGCCATGTTCAGAACCCGGAGAACTCATATGCCGGAATCTGAGGTCTACATGGTGGGGGCAATATAGCGAACACTATCCTCGGCCTATCAGAACAGCCATGTTTGATGGTTTTGTCAATCCCACGCATTTTACCGGAGGAGCCTCCAGGTCGATGCTGGGCAACGATATGTCATACAAACAGGACTATACCTCCCATGGCAGGGAAAGCAATGTGGCAGTCTTCATCGGTATTCACTCACGGCTTCTGTCAAGTGCGCGGCAATTTATCTGGACGCCATAAAGTTAGGCCTTCTTGTCATGTGCTTGAAAAAGGTCGTGATGGAGACATAGCCTGAGGCCTACCTGTTGATTGACTTGTTGCCACTTATCTTATAAAAGGCGCTCTCTTCAAAGTATCCCTAGTCGTTGTACTGTCGGACAAAATGGAACCGTGGTCCCAAGTTTGCAACCTAAATCAAGGAATCTCATATTGAAAGGAGCTCTTCTGGTAGGTTCGAAGGTTCAAGGCATAGGGGGTGTTGGACGACAATATCTCTCTGGCCGATCAGAGCATGCTTGAATGATGACTACTTGTAGCAGTTGGAACCGCGTGGGTCGTAACGAAGGACACAATTATCAGTCGTAGCTTGAGACCTTATGGCAGTCCGTCAGTCTTTCCAGGCCAGCGGCTGCGGAAACGTGGGGGGTCAACCTACAGCGGAAACTCTATTAAATACCAGCCAGAGTCTGTCCGGCTATGCCCGCAGCCGAGAGGCGGTTCATTCCTCAGTCCAACTGGAAGCTTTTACATCGAGGTAGTCGACTGGAGTATCCAGGTCATGTCAGTTCACTCCCGTGTTTCAAGGTTCTCCTGACCTAGGCAGTACCGCCATTGCCCACAGATTCAGATATCCAGATGAATCGTTCCAGTCATGTACCACGTTCAATGGCTCCCGAGATATCTGTGCAGATGCCGTGCAGCGAACCGGCACCGATTCGGGGGGTTGATGGCATGCCAAACCTAAGATCCTGCAGCAATCGCTACATCGTCGACGAGTTTGACAGCATGTAAAGGGTAGTAGCGGAGGCCCGAAATGACGGTTGGCACGGGATTACTACTAGTAGATTAGGGGAATTGAGGACGCCGCAAGCCCGCAAGCTGTATGGCCGGTACCGGCGGCCATCATTATCAGGGCGAGAATAATACTGTTCCAAGCATTGAAGTCCAAAACGACATGGAGTGCAATTCTGAAGTTGCTCCATCCTGTCTTTGGCCTAGGACCCCAGACATGGCGCTCGCAACCCTATTCTCCGCGCTGATTCGGCGTTTGGCATTATGGGCTAACCGGGCTAACCTTGGCCACGCAAGCAGCATGAGGTTGGAGGGCTCTGATCGCCGAGCTGCGTCGGCTTTGAGAAGAGGGGGAAACCATAAAATCTGGCGGCTGGACGCGCCGAGTACCTGTTACCTAGGGGTCAGAAGGGCGCATGATTTCCTGAAAGGTCAACAATTACCCAGATCTTCAAGCGGAAAAGATGACTCTCGTTGACGAACTCACCAGTCTCGTTATGTCTTTGTTCGGGAGCCTCACACCATACCACCTGCTCTTCTACTCGACGCTCCTCGGCGCCGAATTGTTCCAGACCTTTGTCAACACCAAGATCTGCTTCAATGCCCTGCCACGTTCAGCATTCACAACACTTCAGAAACGGATCTTTCCCTTCTACTTTCGAGGACAAACACTCTTAATCTTCCTCAGCGCCGTCACATATCCGCAGCACGGCTTACTCTCTCTGGTACGACAAAAGGGCGACTGGATATCGTATGCTGTCGCGGGGACAACGGCTGTCCTGAATCTTTTCGTGTTTGAGCCGAACACGTCTCGTTATGATTGACTGCATCCACCAAAGTTAGTCATGCAGGGTATAACATGGCATATGGGTCAGGAGCGGCTTCTAACATCGTCTCGCAGAAACACGAGACGCAAAAGCCGACCCGCTCAGGAGCCAAAATGCTAGGGGCAGTGAACCATCTCCAGATATGCAGCGCCTCAGGAGGACATTTTCGAAGAACCATGCAATGACTATCCACCTCAACCTGATATCCATCGGCGCGATGCTCTTCTACGGGTGGAGGCTGGCGTTAAGGCTGAATATAGACCCTGCGCAGTAGTTGATGGGGCTATCGTTGGAGGTTGATTGCATTGGTCATGTTTTTGGTGCGGCTTTGGGATACGGTCGACAGGCAAGAGTTGATGTAGTGTCCGTAGGCCTAGGGATCCCGCGAGAGAGCGGACGTATTAGACCCGATGGTGGATTTGAGTCTGAAGTGGTACGAACTGGAGACTAAGGGGGAACGAAACGTGACAGAAGTACGCAACTGTCAGCTCCAGTTGATGTAAGATGCAAAGGGACGAGGGAGATGAGATCGACCGCATCGTCCTGGGGGCCAAGGGGCAGGTATTAGTGTGAGGGACGCGTTAAAATGGCATTGAAAAGGACTGTTGAGTCCTTGGTCAGAAGTGTAAGCCGGGTCCAAAAGGGAACAAAATGCGTAGATGACCGAGAGCACATTACGATTTGAAAATGATCAACAGTTTGAAACCTCGACGATGATTAGATGCGTTCTCAAGAAGAGTCTCCCTTCAGGGCCGTGCTGATTAACATGAATCATCATTGAGAAAGAGCAAAAAAGCTGTGTCATGTTCGTCCGAATTAGGTAAGGTAATTAAGTGCAGGAGGCAGGCTCTATCGGTCTATCCGCTGGAAGGCAAACTGGAACTGGGCACCGCAATTGCCCATGCTTGCCTGGCGCTCGTTCCTGCCTCGTGATCTATGACCATGTCAGGCTGCCGTGCCGCTGTCTAGTAACACCATTGCCGAGCTCCTATGCAGTACCCACTCATTCATCACGGCAGTCGCAGCCTTGCTCTACTTCTCTCCATCCCTCCAAGTTACGCGGTAGTCGCCGCATTCACCGCGACACCATCCGGCAGCCCATCCGGCAGCTCGTCGGGCAGCCCATCCCCCAAAGGCACGGTCGTGTCCCAACTCCAACCCATCCCACCCTTGATGGTCTCAGACCGCTGCTTGAGCACAGGGACATCCGACCCATCGGCGGGACCACGTGTCTCGACAAAGTCGAATATCCTGTAATCTGCATTCATGAACCACTGCCCCGTCACACCCGCCCTCAGGAACCCCGAGTGCGAGACCACAATGATGGCCTTCTCCGGGCGCTCACGCAGCTCTCGGAGGACAGACTGGCCCCGGGCTAGAATGGCTCGGCGGGTGGAGGCGTAGCGCGCACCGGCAGGAGAGAGCTTGTCCGGGAACACGGGGTCGACATGGGAGAAGTCGACCTGGGGAAATTCGCGCTTCAAGGAGGTGAGAGGTGAGCCTATGTCACACGCCTGTGAAGAGTTCTCTGTCAATGGCGTTAGTTGCTGAGGACAAACATGAGTAAACGAGAGCTCTTGATACCTTGCCAGTCAGCGTGAGCTCTTATCGGAACGTCCTTGGCGATAAGTTCAGGGAATGCGAGCAGTGCAGTCTCAATCGTTCGCCGCATGGGGCTGACTATGATGAGGCCCACGTCGAGGTCGTGAGGGCCTATCCTGGAGAGGATGTTTTGGTGAAGTTCCTCGCATTGTTTCCGCCCCAGCTCGGAGAGCTCCGGGTCGTGGATGGTGTAGTCTCGTACAGTGGGTTAGCAAAAATCGACGTCCATTAGTAGGTGAGCATGAGCTTGGGCGACGTATTGTCTACATTGTGAAGCGCTTGAGCGTGGCGGACTAAAATGAGCGTGGGCGGCATTTGAGTGAGGATACAGCAGGTATGAATATCTAAGTGTCCGGCTGTAATTGGGGATTGGTCGAAAGAGGCGAAAAAGTGAAGATCACGATATGCGGGTTGGAAAACTTATCAATGGAGTTTCAAAACCTGTACGGCAGCAGTGCTCCGTCCTCGCTGTGACAAGTAAACAACAACCAGACCTGGAATTTTGACTTCGTTCGGCGGCTTGCCTCAGTGGACCCAAAAGCGTTGGGAAGGTCGAGCTGAGTGTCCAATAAAAACTCTAAGAAAGTTCCTAAATCAGCCTGCATAAAGCGTGCTGGCAGAGCAAATCACTTGTATATAACTCTACAAACATGAAGCTGTCCATTAGTTGATAAACCTGCGCGATGTTTGCGAGGTGTTCGCATTGAAGCTCTTTCAAACATTGTGACAAGAGATGCCAAGGAATTGCCAAGAACGCCAAGATGGGGCAATGATTCGACGCGGAAAAAAGGCTCAGCTGAGTCAGCTCGAGAAGCCCAAACCAAAAATGTCGACTCGCAGGCAAAGGGAACCAGTCGGAGTTTCTGCCTTTCCACTTTTCCATCCCTTCCATTTTAGTATGGCAGGTGAGGTGGTTGAGGCCATGATTACAAGAAAGATTACCAAACAAAAGTCTATTTAATCCAGCATCAACCCAACACCAGATTTCCAAGAGTTCCTGGGTCCAAGATTGTGCAGAACAAAGGCCCAAAATAACCGAGGTCATCAGCTTCCAGGGCATGAAATAGCCAGGCATTCCCGTTGAGGGTCGCCAGGCTACCTAACAGTACACTTCCATACAGAACCAGCGCACGAGCGCGCTCAATAACCATCTCGTCTCGCTACCTAGGGGCTTTCGAGTTCCATTCAGTAATACTACGGCAACATGAACCCGCGTTACCAGATGCCCCGCTCTTCATGCGGTGGAGAAGCACATGGTTTCACATTTGCACTTGGGCTCTCGGTACTGTTAAGGTACTAGTGCCTCAGGTAAAGTGGCCATTGTGCCGAGCCACTGGTCTTGCATGGTCGGTTGCATACCGAAGACCGCGATGCTACCCACACCGGACCATGAATGTTTGTTGGCTCATCTTCATATGCATTTAAGCAACACTATCAAGATAAGCCAACAGGGAGAATATGCATGTTGGTGGTGTGGCTGGGGGCCAGGTGGGGGAAGCGACGGGTGGCTATTCGTCCCGTCGTTCCTGGTACATCACTGCCCTGTCGGGTTGGGTCGTTGGGAGACATACCCGAATGGATCATTTGTTGGTTGTTGGTTGTATGAGGGAAAGCAAAGCTGCGTGGAGTGCCAGTAACGCCTGCCTTGTGCAACAGTCGGGTAGGCCGCCTAAGGTTAAGGACGGGGAGCAGCTTCCCTCGGCGTTTTATTTCTCCAAGTGCAATTGTGTCCCACCCGGCGTCGAGTTGCTTAAACCACCTGCACTGACGCCTTGGTTTTGCTATGTTGCCTTCAACATGGCGAATCAAATAACAGAGCAAGTGGCCGAATTGCAAGCCGCCGCGGGGCGGCCATTTGCTGCCGGCACTGCCCTACTACTGCTTCTGCTCTCTGTAAGCACAATTTGGGTCTCGTTCAATCAGGTTGTTCTCCTCTTACCAAGAATCATTGCTGATTGTACTAGTACCCATTACTGCGGGCCTTGTATAATGTTTACTTCCACCCACTTTCCAAGGTACCCGGGCCGCTTACCTGGTCTGCTACGCGTCTACCATTCGTCTGGGCGCTTCTCACGGGAACAATTGTCCACGATATCCAAGAGTTGCATCGCCAATACGGCCCAGTCCTGCGCATTGCCCCCGACGAGGTCACGTTCGAGCATGTCGACGCTTATGAGGAGATTCTCAAGCCCGCCTCGCCACAGTTCCTCAAGGATCCCACTTGGTGGAAGCGGCAGCCCGGCCAACCCGAGTCCATACTGAGCGCCATCGACCCCAAGCACCACGCTCACATCCGCGGAGCCCTTGCGCCGGGCTTTACTCCACGGGCTCTGAGAGCCCAGGAGCCGTTTGTACAACGGTATGTCAACCTACTCATCGACCGCATACGCGAACTGGCCGCCAAGCATCAAGAGTCAGAAATCGACATCGCGCCCTGGCTTATGTTCACCACGTTCGACATCTTTGGTGACTTGGGATTCGGGGAGTCATTTGACTGCTTGCAAAGTTCGCGCTACCACCCCTGGATCGCCTTGTTGTTTGGTAGCGTCAAGGCGGCCGCCTTTGTCGCTGCTGCGCGCTATTACCCCTGGATCGAGTACGTGCTCATGAAGTGCATCCCTGCCTCTCTCAGGGAGAAGCAAAAGGCCCACTTCAATCAGATCGTCGACAAGGTGCGTCGGCGCCTGAACTACGAAATGGAACGTCCCGATATCATGTCCCACGTGATCAGGAAAGACGAGGACTTGAGCCAAGGATTGCCGCTTGACGAGATCGAAGTCACATTCATGATGCTCACGACGGCTGGAAGCGAGACGACGGCCACCGTCCTGACCGGTACTGTGAACTACCTCGTTCAGTGCCCAGAGAAACTGGACAGGGTGGTTTCTGAAATTCGCCGCCAATTCCAGAGCGAAACAGATATCACGCTCGATGCGTTGCGAAACTGTACCTACCTCAACGCCGTCATCAACGAGGGACTGCGCCTCTGCACGCCTGTCCCCTGGGTGCTACCCCGGCGGGTCCCTCCAGGGGGCGGCACCGTTTGCGGGGTGTGGCTTCCCGGCGGCACCCGGGTCTCGATCCAGGCGTACGCCATGAGCCGAGATCCGCAGTACTGGCATCGTTCTGAATCCTATCTTCCCGAACGATGGTTGCCCGAGAGCCAGAATGACCCCAAATCCCCGTTTTATGGTGATAAGCGTCAGGCGTTGCAACCATTCAGCGTCGGTCCGAGATCATGCATGGGGCAGCATCTAGCCTGGGCGGAGATGCGGTTGATACTCGCAAAGCTCCTGTGGAACTTTGATTTTGCCGCACCCGAGGACAAGGAGAAGTGGCTGCGGTGGGAAGACCTGCGGACGTTTTTGCTGGTCGAGAAGCGGCCGATCTATGTGAGGGTTAAACCCCGGTTCCAGACCCGGTGAAGACAACGGTGCAGTGCGGTCGGGTCATTCGGCCATCGATTTGTGTTTGCGAGACTGTCAATCATCCAGCAGGTTGCAACCCGGCACTCATGCGCCACCGACGCTGCAAGACGAAAGGGAGAGTACCGATAACGGGTGGTGTCCCAGTTTACTACACGTGTCGACTTGTTGCGTGCGTTTAGCACCTGAGCTGCGGGCATCTAGGAAGGGAGCTATACGTACCAGTAGCTGGTACTGCTTGGAGATCTATGGTTAGAGGGTTCCAGTTTGGAGACTTGGGGGAAAGGTCAAGTGTAGCGGAGATTAGTCCGCAACGACAATTAGTATTCTACCTAACATATGTAGTTACGAAGATATTTGAGCCCATGGAACGCCGAGCCTTGGACCACGTGCAGGTATCAAACTTCGGGACTTGGCCCGGGGAGGCGGGAAGTGAAGTTCCGAGGCATCGGGCTTGCTGTTGCTCTCTGTCGATTGCCGTTTTCACCATGATTGGTGCCATGCTCTTACAACGGGGCAGTGCCATTAAACTGGGGCAAGATCGCTGCCCTGCACGGCGGCATTCACTCGGCTTATGTATCTACACGTAGGTACTTAACTGTGATGTAGATCGTTAGCGATGTAACGTCCAAGAATCCATTTCCAGCCCCCACCTCGTTTGTTGGTTAGCGCGGTACATGCGGTGGATATAGACTCTGGTGTCGAAGCGTCGCCCAGAACAGGTGGAAAGGGAAAAGCGAAGTCCAGGTTGAGGACCCAGGGTGGAAAATCCGAAGGTTCTCCGTATTTAAGTCCAGAACTGGGTCAATGTGCTGGATATGCGTAGTTGGATTAGCCAAAGATCTCTATGTGATCTCGAGGTTGTTGTTGGGCGGCAAGAGTAGGGCAGGTCCCAAGGTAACGAACAACAAGGGTTGAGCCATATCTTGGTAGCGGCCCCTGAGGTGGATACCACTCCCGAGCCAGCGGTTACATATGTAGCTGGGGGATGAGGTGGTCTTATAACCGGCAATGACCGTCATCTGTGATGTGGACTCCAAGGGTGCTTTCAAGTTGTAAGCACTAGTAGTTGTGCCTACCACTCAAGGGGTCTAGGACTATCAGTCTTGCTGTCTTCCAGTATATTTACACCCAGAATGGAGTATCGGTACTCAGAAGTGGTTGATCCAAGTCTTTATGAGACACAGGGCCTTGTCAGCACATACATTCCTCTCCGAAGACACAAGGACGCCCATGCGGAGATTCGAGGGACTCTCCGCGCGCAGCGTGACTGGGCCAGACACGTCTCCCCGGTGAAAGGATACAACGGTAATCTTGGGGACCGGTTCAGCTTCATGGAGGTCACTGTCCCAGAATGCCTTCCTGAAAGGCTCGAGACCATCTCTTACGCGAACGAATTCGCTTTTCTTTACGATGGTATGATACCCCCTACCCTAGCGTCACCACGTGTTCTCGTCGTTCCACGGCAACGCTGACTCGAGACATAGATGAGATGGAAAAACTCGATCTCAAGCAGCTCCCTAGCGGGGGTCGCGGTAGTGTCCTTGACACGTTCGGAGCTGGCTCTTCGGAACACCCTGTCGACCAGACCGTCCGTCCAGAGAAGCGCTTACAGGCTCAAATCTTTGCCGAGATGCTCGCCATCGACCCGCCTAGGGCGAAAACATCGATCATGGCTTGGAAGAAGTTTGTGCAGCTAGCTTCCAAGACGAGGATGAAGCCGTTCGAGACGGTACGGGAGTATATTCCGGCTCGTGTTATTGACGCCGGAGAGTTGTACGTGCCAACTCCCCAATGTTAGATTTGATTGTCAGAATCCAACTTACAGACTGAACCACCTTTTTCTTAGGATTTGGTTCGGCACGCTGACGTTCGGCATGGGACTGACAATCCCGGAGAACGAGTACCATCTCTGCATGGAACTGGCTCGGCCGGGATACGCTGCGCTCGGCCTGACGAACGACCTGTATTCTTGGGAGAAAGAACGACAAGACGCTGAGCGCCAGGGACAGGATTACGTCTTCAACATCATCTGGGTGATCATGAAGGAACAATCAGTCGGGGAGATTGAGGCCAAGGCAATCTGCGCCGAACTGGTTAGAGGGTACATTGACCAGTACCGTGGAATCGTGGAAGAAACCAGGAAGAACACGAGTCTTTCCAAGGATACTAGGACTTACATTGAAGCGGTCCTGCTCAGCATCATAGGCAACCTGGTCTGGAGCGTCTACTGCCCGCGGTACCGGGAGGGATCTTACCAGTAGGTCGGGGTTGTTGATTACCCGATTATCCGGATCCGAGTAGAAGAAAGCTGAACCTGCTGAGGTGCAATTGTCTAACTGAGGATTGTGCGATGCGATCATGCGGCGTTGTTGGGGAACGATAACGTATTGTATGTACAAGTACCTATCTGGCAGGCATGAAGGTTAGCATTGACCGGGCGCGAAGCAACTCAATGCAACAGGCATGCCTCAATTTCCAAGCGCGGCGGCGAGCTTTCTGGTGCCTGGTGCAATTCTCAATCATCCGCAATCCGCAAACTCCAGTGTAGATCCACATCTGTTCAAGACGGTTCGTTCGGACTCCAACACGTCCGGGCTAATTGAAGTCCAAATGCAGTGTAACGTGGCTTACTCTTCAGTATTTGGGCCGTGGGAGCCAAGAGCTATCCTGGAACCGGTTATGAAGCAATGCAGTGTGCCTGGTGCATTCCGAGTGTGGGCGTGATGGTGTCACCCAGCGGCTTGAGGATGTAACGGTAGGAACTTGGATGTGACGAAAATACCGGTGAGTGAGCACCACGGGCGGTCGGGTATCTGTACTGGTAAAACCGTGAGCAAGATCTTTCCCTTCTCCATCGCACCAAGGTAGCCCAGAGTACCGCAAGCAACCCGCTCGCTGCTCGCAAAGTCGAAAGTGCGCCAAGGGAAGATCAATCCGGATTCTGGTATGCTATCAGGAGAACGGTCGCGTCTACATTGTTGGACGGTCAGAGGACAGAGCCCCGTCAGTCCATCAAGGAAACCCAGGCCGCCTTACCTGCCGCCAAAGGAAGTCTTGAGTTCCTGTACCTCGATCTTTCCAACCTAACCAACATCAAGCCCGCAGTTGATGTTTTCAGGGCCAAAGACCAAAGACTGGACATTCTCTGGAACAATACCGCCGTGTCTCAGCCGCCCTCGGCAGCACGTCAAAGCAGGGCATCGAACTTCAACTCGCCACCAACTGCCTAGGTCCTTTTCCGCCAACCCATCTTTCCCCGGCTCTGCTCGAGGCAACGGTCGCCGCTCCCGGCTCCATCCCGGATTTTGTCCGGGTCGTCTGAACTTCTAACCAGATTATGGAGCTCTCTGCGCCGAAGGGGGATCATCATGTCCGAGATCGGTTCTCCGCCCCGCGACGTTGGGAGGAACTACACAAACTCCGAGACGGCCACCTCTTTCTCTCCGCCGAGCTCGCACAGCACCGGTGCGTTATGATGTCGCCGCAAGATAAGATACATAGGAATAATAAATGCTTCTGTTACCAAGTGAGCAGATCCGAGTTACTGTATTACATACCTTATCTGTAATATGCCTTGATAGGGTCAATGATATGTGAAAGCGTGGAAAGATGTCACTGAATGCGAGGTAAAGCGAGGTAAAAATGATGAGGTTGTGCAATGATCACATCGCATTTTGTATCGGTGGATCATGAAGTTTGAGCGGTCAGGCAGGCGGTGAGCGACAGTTTCATGTGACTGGCTGGTTCCAATGATAAGCACAGCAGGCACACTCCACGCTGGTTAACTACCGGCAGGGGCAGTACCTCCGTAGACCTTCGTTCTGACATCCCAAAACAAGTGCATCAAGATTCTGTTTCCATTGCGACTGGCAATAGCAACGCGTCTCAATCCAACCATGACAAGTATTGACGAAATTTTTCAGGTTAGCCCCCGAATCTACTCTGATGAAATTACAATTCAAAATTTGGTCTAACGCGCTTTTCCAGAAATCCGGGCTGCCCAGCAAGCGGAAACTGGACCCAGTCCGTGACCCAAGTACGTATCTGTCGCTCCATAACCTTCCAGCAAACCACTAACGTTCTTCTGCCAGCCGAAATCTATAAATCCGCAAAGGTATCCTCCACCAACCGCGCCATTCCCAACCGCCATGCCCGCGTCCAAGAAGACGACGACGTCGAAGCCGGACCTTTACCCTCCGCAGACCCCGATACCACACAACCAGAGGATGATGACGGGGACTACGGCCCCACCGCGCCGCCCGATGACGAGGCCGATGAAGCAGGGGACGATGAAGAAGGGCGATTCTTTGGCGGAGGTATAACCGCGCAAGAGCGGGAGATATTAGACTTCATGGACAGCGCCGAGCCAAGTACAGCGCTGCCTGCGGCTGACGACGCCGAGACAATAAACCTCGCCTGGCTCAAAAAGATGGCGCTGGCCTTTGAAAAGAAAATCTCGCGCAACGCCGAGCTCCGCGCGCGCTTCGAGGCCGACCCGCCCAAGTTCATCGACTCCGAGGCCGACCTGGATGCAGCCATCAAGGCCCTGTCCATCCTTTCAGATCACCCGGAGTTGTACGCCGACTTTGCACGGCTCGGGTGCGTGGCGAGCCTGGTCTCCCTGCTGGCGCACGAGAACACAGACATTGCCATCGACGCGGTCGAGATCATTGGGGAGCTCACGGACGAGGATGTCGCGGCCAGCGAGGAGCAGTGGAGTGCGCTGGTGGACGCGCTGCTCGAGGCCGATTTGCTCGGGTTGCTGGTCAGTAACTTTTCGAGGCTGGATGAAGCCCAAGAGGCGGACCGGGAGGGCGTGTATCGGGCGCTTGGGGTTCTGGAAAATCTCTGCTCCAAGAAGGAGACCGCCGAGGTGGTAGGGTCGGACGAAGCGCTGCTAAAGTGGCTGATACAGCGGGCGAGCAAGAGCGAGAGACCCGTTACCCAGAACACTCAGTACGCCGCCGAAATCCTGGCGATTCTGGTGCAAAACTCAGAGAAGAATCGGCGGAGCTTGATTGGGTTGGACGCGGTGGATGCCTTGTTGCAGCTTGTGGCAAGGTACAGGAAGAAGGACCCGGAAAAGGGTGGCGAAGAGGAAGAGTACATGGAGAATCTGTTCGAGGCCTTGACCTGCATCGTTGACGAGCCGGAGGGGAAAGACAAGTTTGTCGAGGCTGAAGGCGTTGAGCTCTGCTTGATCATGCTTAGGGAAGGGAAACTCAGCAAGCCTGCTGCGTTACGGTTGCTGGATCACGCGGCAAATGGACCGACTGCGACCGCCGTCTGCCAGAAGATCGTGGAGGCTGGAGGGCTGAAGACGACGTTTACAATGTTCATGAAGAAGCACGATGCGCAAACCACGGAGCATCTCCTGGGCATATTCTCGTCAATGTTGCGGCTGCTGCCCGCAGAATCCCCAGAGCGGATTCGTACGCTAGCCAAATTTGTGGAAAAGGACTACGAAAAGACGGAGAAACTGGTCAGAACGCGTCGCGACTACTCCACTCGAATGGCTGCGGTGGATGCGCGCATCAAAGAAGAACAAGCAGGAATGCCCGACCAGGAAAGGGAGGAGATGGCTGATGAATGGTTCTCGAGGCGTCTTGATGCCGGCCTGTTTTGTCTGCAGACGATAGACGTAATCCTGGCATGGTTGATCGCGGAAGACGACGGAGCTAGAAAGAGGATTCAGGCGTTGCTCGCTGACAGGGACGAAACATTCTCCATCCTCAGAGAAACCATCCAGGAGCAGATTGACGGGATTGACGCCGATTCTGAGCAAGCCAGGGAAACGAAGCAGATGCTAACAGCGCTGACACAATTCCTACAATAATTGGGTCGTCGGTGGGCTGTAACGCCATCAAAAAAATATGTACACCAGGTCCAAATCAATACCATGACACCGTGAGCATGGCTGCGCTCTTCCATTGATCTTCAATGCGGATAGTGAAAGCGCGGGCGTTGCGTCCTAGGCCTATCGTAGAAGGCTCTAAGGCAGCGTCCGAGTTGTATGCCGTATTCCATGACCAGCACGGTCTCATGCGAGGGACAGTTTGCCACTATCATCGGCCCGCTGCCAGCGTCATCACGCTCGAGATTCCTCCCTCGTCCAGTCGGAGTCCGTGGCGAGAATCCATCAAGAGACCGGCATAGACTTGACCTCAAAAACAGCGGTAAGCAGATCCTCAATGACCTTGTCCTGCCCCTTCTTAGCAGCCTCCCTGATCTCTTGGATCTTGACGTCAGCTTCGCGGTTGGCTTCCTCCTCGGCCTGCTTGTTGCCTTGTGTGTGCTGCCATTCATCAGTATCCTCTCCCCAGCAGGAGCCGGGCATGATGTAGTGGACAATACCTCGGCCTCGAACTTCTTGTACTCGGCTTCCTTCTTTGCCCGATACGCCTCGATTTCCTTCTTCGCCTCATCACGCGCTTCTCTCACCCTCTTGGTGCGATCTGCCTGGTGTCAATGATCGGCCCGAATCTGCCAGCGGATGGTTCAATCGAAGCTGCGTACACTCTCGGGCTTGGAAATGTTAGCGTGCCGGCGATTGTATTGGTAGCGGGATGACGGCGCACCTTTTTGGACTATCTTTGCTGCCTCCCTCTCGGCCTGGGAAAGTGGGCCGGGTTAGTGATCATGCCCATTCGCGACAGGACGTTCGGAAGCGGGACGAAGAAATTGAGCCGTACATCGAGCAAGGTCTGGATTCCTGCTGAATTTTGCGCCGACTGCAACGCCCATTAGCTTGGTGCAGTAATTTTAAAGTGTTTGCGTATCCCAGGAGACAGCCATCACTACTTCTCCGTGATGCGACAAGTGTCCCGACATACCATCTCGCAAGCCGAGCTCTACTTCAGCCAAAAGCAACGAGAAACGGGGGGTTGGCAACTTCGGGGATTCAGAAGAGGAGTTTCAAAATCCAAGATGCGATTCTTTTTCCAAAGCCCAAATATCAGATCGAAACCGATCTCGTCGTATTGTGAGGAAGGCGCAATACAAGGTGAACACGATCAAGTCAGGACGCAGCTCGACACTGTTGAAGTGGGATAGCGTCAGACCCGCCGCCAACAGCTCGGTATGGAGGCTCAGGTTCTCAGCCACAGCTCAGACGGGATGATGTATCTGTGGGTCCAACACAGCCACAGTATCCAATTAGGATCCAAAGAACAACGCCCCGAACGCAGTTCGTGACCCAGAAGTACGAAGTACATCTGCACAAGCACCCTGGCGCGATTGCGCCATGTAGATGCACTCTCGAGAGTTTGTTAGAGTCTGTGTAACCGAGACTGTTATACTTACTCGTCATGCCTTCTTACTCCTGCCCCATGGAGTGTTGCTACGCGGCGGTAATAAGCGTCCGTCCTAGTTTCCTACGACGATGGGTGGACTCGATTACCTTGAGGCGGTAGCGACTGCTCTAGGTAGTCGCTTCTAAGACTGGGAATTCAAAGTTGACTAACATAACCCTAGCGATGGAATTGCAGGTACCTTACCGTGAGCTGATGGATTGATCGACAGACGGAATCGCGCCTGCAGGTACGTTGATGGAGTCTTCAACAATAAGATTCAAAGAGGCGGAAGACCCGAAGTGGCTCAACCAGAGCTCGAAGCCGGGGGGATGAAAAGGAAGCTCGGGGCTCCCGCTCGAGATGCTCTTTTAACCACCAGCGTCGCCATGCCGTCTCTTTGCCGGCCCACTAGTGTACACAGAGTGATTCTCATAAGACGCCAGAGACGACTACCTTAGGTAAGGTAGGTAAACTCTTAACAAACGCCTGCAACGTACCAACTCCGAAACCAGCCCCATCATCGGCGACAGTCAACACATCATTGAAATATCTTAGCCCTCCACAACGAGAGCCCAGAGTAAATGGTAATCCCTGCCGTAACAAAGATACCGACCCAAACCCCCAAGACTTTAAGCAAAACCTTGGTAGCATATTCGTCTGCCGCTTTAGCGTCGTTTGCTCTTGGAAATGGTTCATCGGGCACCGGCACACCCAAGAATCGACATAGAGGCTCCCAGCCCTCGCTCAAGTCCATTTCCAACAGTTGTCCCTTCGGAACAAGGGACCGCACTTTCTCATTGTGGGCCTCCAAAATATCTGCGAGTAAAACGTATTTAGCTGTTAAGCAGCAGGATTGGGATGGTAATGGGTACTTACGAGGACCACCCCGTTTGATAAGTTCGACTGGGCTAGCAGTCTTCTCCGTTAAGCCTGCGAGCAACAAGGTCGAACGGCTGTATTCTTTTGCAAACGTGGGTAGATGTCTCCATCCCGGGATGGGCGCCATTGCAATACCAAGCCACCACGGGGTGGTCCGGCTGGTCAGGGCCGCTATACTATTCCACCACTTCTGCGGATCCCTGCGAACCAGCACAACTTTGGCCTCGGGATACAATTCCATCATCTCGGCCATGAAGTCGGATGGCGGCAGATCTGCGGTTGCCACGAAGCCCGCGGTGGCCTCTCGGACATACTTCAAAGTCTGCTCTTTATCGCCCGCATTTCTGGCCTCGTATGCTTTAATCCACGTTTTACAGTAATCTGGGACGACGTCAGTATCTTTCCCATCTGAATCCCGCAGACAGCCACCGGCTTGGACCTTACCATCATCCCGCACCAAGATTTGTGTGCCACCGTGAAGCACCGGCCCATCAAGCAATTTTGCCAGTGCAAGAGACATCGACACTGTTCCTGTTCGCGAGTACCCTGCTGAGATCACCTCAACCTTCCGCGACGGATCCGTCGGTATAGATGCGACACCGCCCATATTGGTGATACTTGGGACCTCGGTCCAAGCTTTTTGTTGGCTGACGAGCTGCAAGAGATGGTCTTCTCAAGGCGAAATGCTTTGGCCGCTAAGGAAAGGATAAAAGATATGGACATGAGATTTGATCGCGACCAAACATCATATGCAAATAAAATGGCGTACCTATTCTCTATGGGCAAAAAAACCCGTTATACATATAATTCGACCACCTCTTTCGAGCAGGTGACAACGAATCAACGTCCCCGAAAGCTGACGAAGACTGCGATGATACCCTCCCGGTAGCTGGCATCAAATCTGCATGCATGGTATGGGCACAGGCCAATCGCTTTTTGTGTGACGAGCTGCAAGCGGGATGGGATGGTTGCCTACCAACACCTGCTCTGAGAGGAACATGGCCGACCCGAGTCCAGTAGCATACCAACCGTTATTCGCTGAATATGGGTGATTACCTATCCAATGCAACGCAGTGCTGCCTCCGAAAACAATTGGTAACAAAACCCCCAAGCGATGTCACGTTTTCTGAGAAGCAGTTGGTGGCACAGAAATAGGCGATACAACATAATGCTACGGAGTAGTACTCCGTACCTCCGAAGCAGTTGGTAGAATTGAGCGAAGTGATGCGGTACGGAGGTTGGGGCCAAAAGTTATCATCACTCCAAGATAGCCAAGACTGCCAAGGCCCGGATACAGTAAGGCTCGCACAGCCCATGTCAGCCACTGGTCCCTAACCACTGTAGGCATAGTGCGTATCTCCCTGCGCTAGGGGGTTTCATGGGCGGTGCCCAATCAGCGAAGAGGGAGAGAAACCGCTATGCCCAAATTAAATATAGTAGTGTAAGTATGCTTTTCTCGGTTTGTCGCACGTTGATAGGCTTTGCCCTAACAGAGAGTGAATGATAACTTTTGGCCCCAACCTCCGTACTGTGACTACGAAAATTACCTCCAGAAAATAAAGGTTTGTGCCGTACACGTGTGTGGTAATGTTACCGCCCGTACAATACAATCCTAACGGTCGGACAGGGATGACCCGCCTTCCGCAACACGTCCGACTACCGTACGATATCCTGCGGGGTCATGACTTCTGGGGCCATGTAAGCAACAGCCAACTGCCCGATGAACTGCACCTGAAACCTCCTGCACCGTGGAGAGTAATCGCATCACCAAAGAACGGCGATTGTTAGGCCTATTCTTCCGAGACAAATACCCTCAAGGGTTACAGTTGGTATCGAATTTCCCGCATTATATGCTGAGGCGGAGCGTAATTTCTTTCCTCAAGAATGAAACCCACGCCGCAGTCTAATATATGCAGTCTCAGTCTCAATGTTACAGCGCATTACCCGTTGGCACTCCCCTCCAGATGCATTCAAGGGGCACTATCAGAATATGTTCCTGGGCTTCGTACCCAACTATCTTGATGGTGCCCCTTAAATGCATATGCGGGAAAAGCCAACGGGTAATGTAGAGCCCGAGATGAGAGACTGGCGCCACACTTCGATCGGCGCCACTCCTGCTCACCTGGCCTATTCGCCAAATCCGATTCACACAATGAGAATGGGGGGTCATCTTCGCAAGATGAACCTTGAAGGATCACCCACGGGATCGATTGGGAACCGCCTCCCTTCCCAAGATCCCTCTGTGGTTCCCGGTGGGCCGGTGACTTCCTTCAGCCTTGGGTTCTTGATCCAACCTTCCCAGACTCCCGCGGTAACAGTCGCATGATGGACTCTCGACAGAAGATCCGGTTCGGCGGTTGAGGGTCTATTATAAGGCCGGAGAAAGCTCCTTTACTGGCGGGCAACAGCCTGCCTGAGAGATCGGCAATGCAATAGGGTAGCATCTTCCCTAGCCGCCAGCCAAACGTGTCGCTCCCGTGCCACCCCCCTAAGCCTCCCTAAGCAGCTGCCCAGCGCGCCTGGTTTCTGGGTTTCGGCCTGCCTGTCTTTATTACCGCGCTTGATGTCCGACTGCGCGCTGACAAACAGTCTTCCTCCCCCGAGAAATGTTCTCCGCTGCCAGCCGGGCTTCCGACTCTGCGCAAACTTGCAAGTTTCTTCCTCCGGTTCGTAGCTGGACGCCATCTTTTGAGAACCCGACGCCATGTCTTCACAATGGTCCCAAGGAGGGATTGTACCTCCACCGCCGGGGGTTGAGCCCAACTTTGTCGACCCTCCCAGCGAGCTCAACAAGCTTATCGCAACCCATACGGTATTCCTTACCCTAAGTACACTGGCCGTTGCGATGCGAGTGTACACGCGTACTCGCATCTCTAGGGTAAAGATGGGCCCTGATGACTGTTCGTCTGTTCCCAACGATTTGGTCAAGGGCTTTCGCTGATACTTGGACGACAGATCTCTGCATCCTCTCCTACGTATGACGCTCCTTCATCTGCGTTGCGCAGCTTGTAAGCTGACCAAGTCTAACAGTTGGCGGCCGTGGCCTTCTCAGGCGTCCTGTTCAAATGTATGCCGAGACTCTCACAGTATCCCGTGCTTGATTGCCGAGACTCTCACAGTATCTCGTGCTTGATTGCAGGCTGCTAACTTGACAACAAGCTGTTTCATGGGGAATTGGCCGTCACATGTGGGATGTGCCAGCCGTCTGGATGGTGTCGGCTTTGAAGGTGAATCTTCCCAGCATCTCCGCCATCATGCAGTAGGCATTGCTAAGCCCTTTACATAGTTCCAAACCATCGCGTCATGGATTTATCTCTGGGCAGCCACTTTGGTCAAGCTCAGCTTCCTCTTCCTATATCGTCGCGTGTTTGCGATGGAGACAAAAGCCGCGAGACTACTCAATGGTGGCATTGCCGTTTGTTTTCTGGTCAACCTAGGCCTGTTCTTCGGCATCGTCTTCTTCTGCATCCCAGTCGAAAAAGCATGGGACGATAGCATACCGGGCCGTTGCTCAAATCCCGTCGTTCTCGCTTATTTCACCGGCGTCTGGAATACCGTGATGGATATCTACGTGCTTCTCGTCCCGGTTCCATTCCTTATGGGATTGAATATTGGCCGGGAGAAGCGGTTGAGGCTTGTAGCTGTCTTCAGCGTTGGCATATTGTAAGTTCTCTCGACGTCTCTTTCCCAAAGGAAGATGTGCTCACCATTGTGCATCTAGCGCCTGTATTGCAAGCGTTGTCCGACTAGCAATGACTTCAGTCCTACAAAGCAGCTTTGATGCCACATACAATCTGGCTCAAGTTGCACTCTGGGCGTGAGTCTTTCAGGCGAGAGTCCCGATTTCTTTGAAGCACTAACCCTTCCCTAGGACAATTGAAGTCCATGTGGGGCTCTGCTGCTCCTGTCTAATGCTGGTACCGGCATTCCTCGGACGCCATCTACCTGAGTCGGTTAAATCCTTCCTGCGCGCTATCTCATCGACAATAGGGAAGTCAAGAAGGACTGGGGATTCCAAGACCGATCCACAGGGCTGGCGATGGTACCAGCATAAAGTTGGTTCAGATCCCCTGAACCTAGGCTCTATGAACAAAGGAAACACTGGAAAATACGTCGTCGTGACGAACACCATTTCGATGGAGAGTCATCACCCGCAAAATGGCATGAATGGCATGGAAACTGGTTGGGCCACTCCTCAGAAGAGCTTTTGAGGCAGAAGGAGGATCAGCTATACTAGAGAAGAAACTAGATTCCCACTTTGTTGTATGACATACAGGAACCAGCTCAGGAAATTGAAATTAATCGTCGTCATCGATCGTAAGCAATGACCATGTGTCTCCAGAGCCTACCTATTCGGTTTCCCTACCGGTATAACGTTCTCTCAACACTACCTTAGTATTAGGCCATCGCCCGCGGCCCTCAACAAGTATCACGGCTTCTGGTTGGCACGGCGGTGATTGTTGACAACCAGTCTCCAAGTCTTGCGCAGACACCAACAGAGCGTGGTAAGGGTGTGCGCCAACAAAAACAGAACCATGGAAATGATCTGCCCCGGGGTACTTCGCCGGGATCAAGAAGTTGGCTTGTGATGGCCGATTTGCCGAGCGGATAAGGCTGTGCCGCCGGATAAGGCTGTGCCGCTAGTTGATACGCAGCGACTGTCCAAGGAAAGTGGGTTATTGCTACGTTACCGCACAGTACCACATCCACTCATTCGATTTTGATCTGAGCTAGCATCGACAGTACCGCACCGCGCCGCAAGATGCTCCATCACACTCAAACGAGAACCAACCAAGTCGCGCCCAAACCCGCTTTTGATCGCCGCCAGCGAATTCAAGTTGACTGAGAGCCGGGGAGAGTCAAGGAGAGTGGCGCAAAAGTCCGATGGGGCCAACGGTACTACTTACCGTAGTAGTAGGCTTTTAGCTCAGATCCTAATCGAGTGAGTACCTTACACGTGGATGAGGTCCACGGTAGTCTGCAACCTTCCCCATCAGTACCAGGTATGTATTCAACAGTATCACGCTCATGCATCTATACGAAACAGAGGGCTGATGGGGGCCACCGGGGCCGACATCACGGGTGGAGCACACCGTAAAAGGGAGACTAGAAACAAATACCACTCTCCTCGGATTGCTTGCGGAGTCCTTCACACGGGTGTGCTTTCAACGCTATCCCCGACATCCTTTCACCCGACATTTTTCATCCCCCCTCAACTTCATTGCTTGGCCAGTGACCAACCTTCACGAAAGAGAATGTCGCTGCTAGGTTTCGGTTTCTCGCCAGTAGTGGCCGTGTCCGCATTCTTGGTAGTTCATTGCTTGTATTTCGCCGCTCTTGTTGTTTATCGCCTGTGGTTTTCGCCGCTAGCCGGCTTTCCGGGACCCAAGCTTGCCGCCGCGACGGGCTGGTATGAGTTCTACTACCAGTATTGGCTCAATGGCCAGTATATTTTCGAGATCGAAAAGATGCACAAGAAATACGGTAACTAGCGCATATTGGCCCATGCAAGGGGTAGGGAGTGAGACTAGGAGCTGAGCCCTCTCTCTTCCAGGCCCAATCGTTCGAGTCAATCCGGAAGAGCTTTCGATTCACGATCCAGATTTCTACAACGAGATATATGTCACAGAGAGCAAACGACGGACAAACCACTATGACTCGTTTGGACAAGGAATCGGTTTCGATGGTAAGTGTCTGACCTAGAAATTCAGAAGCGTAGCCGCCAGCTAATAAGCATCCCCTTTTTAGGCTCACATTTGTTTACCAGAGAGCACGACCTCCATAGAGTGCGGAGAAAGCCTCTAGAGCCATTCTTTTCCAAAATGGGAGTTGCTCGCTTGCAGCCAATGCTTGCCGAGGTGGCCTTGCATCTGGAATCTCGGATCAGAGAGTATTCGAGCACCAACAAAGTCATCCGACTCGACCACGCATTCTCCAGTTACGCCGGTGATATCATTGCCAGGATGTGCATGGACGACGGTGAGAGCAGAAACCGCCTCTTAAGTGACCCAGAATTTTCGGCCGACTGGTATGCCTTTCCGCAGTCAACTTATACATACATGGGTTCTTACAAAAGTGGCTCCCAGGTTTGACGATATCATTACGATTATACGCTCTATACCACTCTTCATGGCATTTCCCTGGATTATTCGGTATGTTGTCATATAGCCATTGCCAAACCTTGCCTAACTTTGGGGTAGAATCCTAAGCACCATACCTGAGTCCGTATTGCTGTGGGTGTATCCCCGTGGACAGGCATTCAAAAACTTAAGCCAGGTATGACAAGATCTTCCCAATCCAAATCTTCTTTTAAACGCTAACCTGTGATGCAGAGAGCAAGAGACAACATCCGCAAAGCTCTAGCAAGCAAATCTATCAAAGATGATAATGTCACTTCTCTATTTCATTACGTTGCGCACAGCGACATGCCCGAGTCAGAGAAATCCGAGCAACGTCTCATAGCGGAAGCTCAGTTACTCCTCGCAGGGGGCACTTTCACCAGTGGTCGCACAATCGGAGTTGCGAGTTATTATATTCTGTCTCGACCGGAGCTACGTCGTAAACTTGAGTCAGAGCTGAGAGGCCCAATGTCGGCCTGGCCTGCGTCTGTCCCGACATGGGCAGAGCTGGAAAGGCTAGTTCTCTTGCAGGCCATCATCAAGGAATCATTACGGTACGTTACTTACCTCTACCATCACCAGCTGATTTGTATCTAATACTTGGACCCGCGAACGTAGAATCAGTTATGGGGTAATGCATCGGCTACCACGGATCTCACCCGATTTACCGATTCAATACAAGCAGTATACCATTCCGGCTGGGGTAAGAGCCCACTGCTTTTTCTCCTTCGTTTCTTTTCTTCAGTTTTCTTATTTTTTTATATCTTTTACTTACCGTCTTTGCAGGTTCCAGTGGGGATGTCTGCATATTTGATGCATTCGGATCCCACAGTATATGAATCTCCCTTCGAATTCATTCCGGAGCGTTGGGTTGGCGACGTTGATCCAGCAATGAACCGGAACTACGTCCCCTTTGCAAGGGGTTCCAGAAACTGTCTGGGGCTCAAGTAAGATCTCTTCATATGTTCATTATCCGCTACATCAAATCAGCACGCTAACGTGATTTCTGTTTTGTTGTATCCAGCCTAGCAATGGCCGAGATAAGTCTCGCACTGGCTGTCCTTTTCCGCCCCGGTGGTCCCAAGCTTGAGCTTTTCGAGACGGACGAGAGTGATGTGAAGCAGGCACATGATTTCGCGGTCTCGCTTCCAAAACTGGATACAAAAGGCATCCGGGCATTCGTTCGTTGACCTAGACCAAGGGAGTGGACGAATTGAATTTGTAAAGGATACCAAAGCAGCCAGTCACACATATTAGTCTGTATCCCCTTACCAGCAGATGGGTACACCGGCACCCCCGGCCGCAACATCAGTATAGTATCGATTCGGCACCCGCTGACAGGTGTGCAAAGGCCGTCCTGATTAAGGGGAAACTGGGAGGTGCTACTTGATGGTGAGACCAACGTGAGGAATGTTGATCGGAATCCGTTGCGATCAATGAGAAGGGGGTATGATGGGTATCGATGAAGGTTGTATGGCTGTAGCGTAAATGGGTAACCATCGAGCATCGAACACGCCAATTTAGCAACTTCCGAGAGTGGCAGTTTATGCTCAAAGACAAAGAGCGTGAGGAAAGACCACAAATGAATCGAAGCGTAGCTACGTTCTTTGTGCCTTCTCGGTACATACGTACCTTTGTACAGAGGTTGACTTTGAATGGCTCGGCGCGGCTTCCCTGCTGACGCACTGACGCATTGGCCGAGCTCCGCTGAAAGTCCCACGGTCCACCGGGCTGCCTGCCGGGGAATCCAAAAGGCGGTCGAACGGGGCAGAAAGGCGCATCCATCTTCGACCTTGCTATCAATTGATATTTCGTATGCATCGACCGAATTACTTCCCTTCGATGTCTCGACGAATCCAGGGCCAGACCGGACCGTAACCGCAAACAGTGGTCCTCATCGAGACACTCCAGCCATGTCCCAGCAATAACACACCCCAAATATCCCACCTATCAATTCAAGAACACACCATGTCACGCGCTTCGAAGCTCACCCTCATGGGCACCTCCATCTTCGCGCTGAGCACCGTGGTCTTTGTGCACTTCCAGCAAAAATGGGAGCAAGAGGTATGTACAATACACAATCAGCCCCGCCACCCTGGGTTTTCCCTGCCATTTATTTACCGGAAATGTAAACGGTCATCATCTAACTGTTCCAAACTAACACAACCAAACAGGCAATGCACCAAGGCGTCGTCCGCGACATGGAACAGCAGCGGCTGAAGCGGGAGCGGCAGGCCGACTTTGACATGCAGCGGGCGCTCGAGGCCGAGTACAAGAAGAGCCAGACGGTGCGCGACAGCACGGGCGAGGAGGACTTGACAGCGTCAGGACCTGGGGGAGGGGCTGTACGAGGACAAGGGTTGAGTGTTGGGAGGTAGCGTCGACGACATCGCACAAGCTGGGATGTGTGGGGGATAATGGTTCTTTGGATGAGGAGGGTAGCGAATGCCAGACAGCAAGGGGAAAGTCCCGTACAACATCAAGGGCTTCAGTGTAATAGTACCTGTACATTAAGGGTAGCCAAGGGGCATAACATTTCTCACGTTCTTGGATTGTATACCCTATTCTGTCTACCACAATCCTAGATTGATGCAACACCAAACCATCCATTGGTCTGCCAGCCCGCTCACAGAAACAGAAACTGCTACCAGTTGCAGGTGTTAGGGTTAGGAAGGCCTCAACATTTTAGAGAGCTCCCGTTCTGTAGACGACAAGAGGAGCACAACGGGATGTTAAGGAAATGACCAGGGATAAAAGACCACTTTCTGCCGCAAGCCGCATAATGAACGCCAGAACTGCCTCAAAAATGCATGCGATTTACGCTCATCCACCTCAATCTCAACTGATCCCATTGTCATCCAAACCCTCATTACCAAACCCTCAGCGTACTGAGATGCCCGATCGGCTAGTAAACATGCGCGCCGCAATGTTCATCGACATGAGCTCCTGGAAGAGGAGCTTGGCAGCGTAGGGCATCTGGACCTGGGCAATCTTGGTCTTGTTCTTGCACGGCCGGCACTCGAACGACTGCTTGGTGAGGTTGCTAAATAGACCATTAGTAAATGTGCATCTCCAAGACCAAGTCGGGGAACAAAACTTACGCAATCGGAGTCATGAGCCCACAAATCTCGCAGATATGGACTCTGAACGCATCCGACACCTCAAACAGACGCTCCTTTAGGAACGCGGCGGCACCGTGAGCAATCATGCAATCACGTTCCATTTCTCCGAAGCGGAGACCACCATCTCTCGCACGACCCTCGACAGGCTGGCGCGTCATGATCTGCAGCGGGCCTCGCGCACGCGCGTGGATCTTGTCGTCGACCATGTGGCGCAGGCGCTGGTAGTACGTTGGTCCAAAGAACACCTGGGCCCGGAGCTTGCGTCCGGTGTGGCCGTGGTACAGAATCTCAAAACCGCGCGACTGGTAGCCGTGCTCGCGCAGCAGGGCCGACACTGAGTCGACCGTCACCTCGGTGAAGGGCGTCGCATCACCTTCCATTCCCTTGAGCGTGGACACCTTGGAGAGCAGACACTCGATCAAGTGGGCAATGGTCATACGGGAAGGGATGGCGTGCGGATTGATGATGATGTCGGGCATGATGCCCTCGCACGTGAAGGGCATGTCCTCCTGTCGATAGGTAACACCAATGGTACCCTTCTGACCGTGCCGAGACGCGAACTTGTCTCCGATCTGAGGGACCTTAGTGGTTCGCACCCTTACCTTGACATAGCGCATGCCGTCTTGGTTCGTCGTCAAAATGACCTGATCGACGATACCATTCTCCGTGCTGCGCAACGGTGTCGAGGCGTCGCGCTTGACATGCTGTGAGGTCCGCTGACCCAGTTCGGCGTTATCCGGGTTAATTGGACATGTCTTTCCGATGATGATATCCTCGCCAGACACGCGCACACCGGGCGCAACGATGCCGTCACCCTCAAGTTTGTCGTACGTGCTCGGTTTCAGGCGCAACGTGTCACTCCTATCCGGTTTCTCAAACATTTCGACAATGTTGATGCCGACGCGCTTTTCGCAATCGGTGTAGGACCGGAAAAACAAGCTGCGGAAGAGGCCACGATCGATACTGCTCTGATTCATAATGACAGAGTCTTCTTGGTTGTAGCCGGAATAGCACGCAATGGCCACGATGGCATTCTGCCCCGCCGGCAGCTCACGGAATTTGAGGAACTCCATAGACCGCGTGGTTGCGAGGGGCTTTTGAGGGTAGTACAGGACGTTCGCCATTGTGTCGAAACGGCGTGAGTAGTTGGTGAGGAAGAGACCCATGGCCTGCTTGCCCATGGCAGACTGGTACGTGTTTCTAGGTGACTGGTTGTGATCGGGGAATGGAATGATGCTGGCGCAGATGCCCAGCAGCATGCTAGGATGGATCTCACAATGCGTGTAAATGTGGGTCGTCGGGTTCATCTTGGTCCTGATCCGGGTGTTGCCTTGCCCAGAGTTGTCGTCGACGCTGAAGCCCATTTTGCGCAGGCGATACATATCGAGGTCCTCGGGGGTCATACAGATCATAGCCGTTTCCTCTTCTTCGGCATCGAGGTATTCGATTGCGCCAGACTTTAGCAGACCCTCCCAGCCCCAGTAATCCGGATGGTATTTGCCCAGCTCCTTGTCCCTCTCCAGCCGTTGGATGTGCTCTTTGGTAATGATCAGCTGGCCTTGTTCAACACCGTTCTCCCCGTTAGTATCCTGCTCAACAGTGAAGAGTGGCCTCATTACGCGTCCCGCGTCCGAGAAGATTTTGAACTCGCGGTCACGGATGTCTCTGACGAGAGACACTTCAAACGAGATGACATCCTTGCGACGGAGACTCTGGACTAGAGACACGAGCTGTTTCGGGTCCTGATGGATGCCGACCCAGGTGCCGTTGACAAAGACCTTTGTCGCGTTGGGGTACCGGAGAGGCTCGTACTCCTCCAAGACCTCCATGTTTCTCGCAATCATGAACTCAATAATGGGTTCTGCTGGTGTGCCAACGCTGATGTAGCACATTAATGCAAGGTTTTTGACCAGACCACAAGCCTGACCCTCGGGTGTTTCTGCGGGACAGACGAGACCCCAGTGCGTGTTGTGTAGCTGCCGGGGTTTTGCAAGCTTGCCGTCACGGCCGATAGGTGTATTGGTTCGCCTCAAATGCGAGAGAGTAGAGGCAAACGTGTAGCGATTCAGGACCTGAGAGACACCGGCTGTGGAACTCATTGCCTTCTTTTGATCGCCCCAGTTGCCCGTGGCGAGTGAGTACTTGAGAGCATTGGTAAGAGTCGAAGACTTGATGCCGAGGGCCAGCTGGAACTGCTTGTTGCTGTCGATGCAGCGCTTGATGTACGACATCAAGTCCTGGGTCATGCGCCGAATGACACCTCGGAAGAGCTTGGCTAGCAGCGGACCAGCGAGATCCAGTCTTTTCTTCCCGAAGTGATCACGGTCATCGGTGTCACGACGCCCGAGGGCACACTGAAGCAGCTTGTGTACCATATAACCGAGGAAGAATGCCTTCTTGGTCTCACAGCCTTCCTGCTGCGAGATATGGGGTAGCATCTCCTTTTGAAGAAGATCCTTGGCGGCGCGGAGGCGGTTCACGCGGTTCTGGCCGGCATTCCCGTTCCCGCGCTTGCCGATGAAATCGAGGGCAACCTCACGGTCCTGGATGACAAAGGCTTCCTCAATGCAGGGCCGCAGAGCCTCGAGCATTTGCGTGTCGGTCCGATCGTAGCAAATGTGGTTGAGAATGTCCTCGTCCGAGACAACACCAAGGGCACGGAAGACGATAGCGAGGGAGACGTCTTCGCGTACATACGGCAGTGTGACGCTGACCGAGTTTGCGAGTCTCCCCTTGTCCAGCGACGCCTTGCTGTGCAGCTTCATCTGGAGCGACGAGATGAGCCGCGATCCCTTCTCAAGGGCGCTACGAATTTCGGCTTGGTACGAAACGCTGCCTCCCGGAGGTTTCTTGAAGACCTGAACGATGTTGGCTGCCGACCGCTCCTGAGCAATCAGGACCTTCTCGCTTCCGTTGATAATGAAGTAACCGCCTTGGTCGTATGGGCACTCGTTAAGCAGGAATAGCGACTCGTCATCCTCCCCAAATAGATGGCAAATCGAACTCTTGACCATGACGGGAAGCTTGCCGAAGAAAATAAGATCGCCCTTGTCCTCACCCTTGCCCTCATCCGCTCCCTTTGGTTGTACTTCACGCGGGCCCGTATCCTCTTCTTCCCAGCGAATTGTTGTGGGATGTTCACCGGTTCGAGCCATGTATTCCTGCTGTTCTTCATCCAGCTCATTCAAGGGGATCGGCTCGTTGATGGCTATGCGCGCGCGCTTGGTCACTCTGCAAAACATGGGTGCAGAATACGTCAGGTTGCGGTCGCGGCATTCGTATGGGAGCAGGCTGGTGGTTTCGCCTGTGGTTTCGGTGAGAGTCGGCTTAGATATGAGCACCTCTGTGAGCTTGATGTCGTATCTCCGCAATGCCACATCGCGACCTTCGTCATCGCCGGGATTTGGGTGGTCCAAGGTTAATTCTGAATACTCTGCGACGAGCGACTGGATGGTGGACTTGGTAAACTCATTGAAGGAATCAATCTGCTGCGAGACAAGGCCTTTCTTGTCAAAATACGACGAGATGACCTCCCAGCAGTCCTCGGGGGTGATGCTGTCCTCGCTCACCAAGCCGGCGGCATCATCAAAACCGGCGCCGTTCTCGTAGTTGTCATCATTGTCGTAGGTATCGGCGTAGCCGTATCCTTGCGTCGCATACTCGGCCATGGTGAGTCCAAAGCAGCAAGGCTGCTACCAATCGACGCAAAGTTGGCGGAAAGCACGGAGACGATTCGAGGCGGCGAAGATGATGAAGAGTTTGGCGAGTGAGGTTTAGAACGCGCCACCAAAGGCGAGCGTGCAAATCAACCCGCCAAGTGCAGAACTCCTAGCTCATCAGCCGACCAGTCCGCCAGACACGATGAAGCAGGGCGATGGGCGTGGAGAGCGGGTTGGAGGCACAGAGACTCGGCTCGGATGGGCCGCAGTCGGGAGGATGGATTATCGCGAGTTGCGATTTGCTTTCCAGGGAGAAAGGCGCGAGGCGAAATTCTGGGCCTGCAGAAGGCTGAAAGATAACGGGAGGGAAGGGGCTAGTCCGGATGTGGTTAGCCGTTTCCGTCAGCTTTGTCCCCACTCCCCGCTGCTTCCTAATCAAGCGAGTCAAGCTAGGTACCACAGCGGGATCTGTAGGGGGGAGCTATCATAGCAGGGGGGGTGGTATCATAGAAAAAAAAACCTTTGACTGTCTCTACAATTAGGATAGCACTGTCAACTACGGAGGTAGGATAGCACTGTTAACTAGGATAGCACCGCTCAACTAGGATAGCACCCGACCCACCTCATCCATGGAACCAATCAAAAGTGGAGGGGCTTGCTCAGGTACTTTGTATTGTACCTGAACAAGCTCATCTTCTAAGAACTGAACTCTACAGCCTACTCTAAGATACTGCTACATCATGGGATCGAATCCTAGGCTTACGAAGACTGTTACTCTACATGGGATACGCTTACCACTTGACTACAATGATGAGAATTGAATATGAGGAAGGAAGAATGAGGATATATAGGGGAGGTACGTAGGTATGGAGCAGGTAGCTAGGTAAGGAAGCGACGGTCTGTAAGGTCAGGCCCCAAGGCCCCAACTGCTTCCCAGGCCTGGCAACGCCTCGACTGTTCTGTACGTAAGGTCCTCCAGCTGATGGAATTGCTCTGTGGCAAGGCCCTGGCAGTACTGCTTGGTATGTGAGGACCCGAATGTTGGACTGGCCTGCCCTGCTTCTAAGACCTTGCGACGCCCCGACTACTCTATATATAAGGCCCTAGTAGTACTGCTCTATATATGAGAACCCGATAGCCGGACTGGCCTGTGCTACTTCCAAGACTTTGTAGGGCCCTGACTGCTTTATATGCAAGCCTGTAAGGCCTTGGGAACAGTACGGTTGGGTCCCTGGCCCTAGTGCAGGGTCTTGGAAGCAGACTTAGCAGAGCAGGCTAGTCCGACAGTCGGGTCCTCATATATAGAGCAGTATTGCTAGGCCTTGCACATAGAGTAGTACTGCCAGGGTCTTATACACAACGCAGGCCAGTCAGGGCCTTGCACGTAGAGCAGTACTGCTAGGGCCTTACGTACAGAGCAGTCAGGGCGTTGCAAGCTCCCTGGCTTCAATCAACGTAGTGGCCTGTAATTAGTGCAGTGGGTGCAATTCGCTGAAGTCCCTGTAAGAGCCTGGAAGTCGTGGTATCCAAAATTTCTGACCAATCAGATCTGGGAAAGGGTGCTATGCTAGTTTGCAGTGCTATCCTAGTTGGCCTGGCAATCATAGTACGGCCTGAGTATGATAGCTTCCAGCCAGATTTTCCCACTATGGTAATCAATGCTTCAGCCCTGACTTGAAAAACAAAGCGGCCTGGCTCGGGACCAAAATTTAAATCTCAGCATCAGAACAACAATTCCTTTCCTCAAAAAGCAGGCTCTGGGAAACGATTCTCTAGAGAATGTTGTCAAATGCCTGATTTCCTTGCATTGACTCAGGTTCCGTAACTGGTGAGTGTCTTTGCGAAATTGGGACCAGGCTTGGGCAGGAACCTCTCGTGGGGTTTCTCGCTGAGGACAACGAACAAACCTGCATACCATGTACTCCGTATACATACGTTTAGATCCCGGCGCGTCCGGGTGGCTTGCTCCAAGGGAGAACCGATCAGCCAATGCTATCTGGTAACTACATACAATTCACATGTTATAACTTACGTGCACGCTCAAATAGCGGAACGGTGGAAGCTTTATTTTGAGGCTTTCTTTCTTGCCCGCTGACTACAGCCGGCTGGGGGCAAGTGATGGGTCCTTCTCGGATACTGTCAGCGGGCCGATCATCGAGTCGGCGAGCCCCAAGGCCGGCATTACGGGCGACCAGCGGAAGATCTGAAACGGAAAAAGCAAACTCCAGAAACTGGACGGTGGGCACGGGCATCAGCAACGGTCAGACCGGCTTGGCGCAAGGTGCGGCGTCCCGAAAATGGATCTTGGCGCCATGAACTCGATGAAGACCAATTCATCAATGGTCGTATAAGTGAGTCTCTCGACCTTGAAGCCTGGGCCCACGTTTCCTGTTTTTAATGCCAGCCTGCCGGTTATCGACCGGAGTAAGATCTAATGCTGGAGATAATCGCAGCAGAGATGCCGGAGATGGATTGGCAAAGTGATCAACAAGGCTGGATCGAGCTGCAACCATGTCCACTGTGGTCTCACGATCAAAATCCCAAAGTACACGACCACTGCAAGCTCGTGTCCTCTCAGGCTCGGTTCCTCCTTCCATCACCTTTCAATTCCCATCACCAGGGTCATGGTAGCGCTGTTTCGTCATCCACTGCGGCCGGCGACCCGATTTCCACGGACCATCAGCCGTTTGCAAGTTCACTCGGCTGGATTAAGAGCTTGGAGACAGGCACAGATGGAATCAACGCTGCTGAGGGAGCCTTCCAACATCATTCTCCATCTCATGTGGACTCTTCTCCCGTGGCTGAAGCACCTGTAGCAGTCAATCCGCCAGAAACATTTGGGGCTCCCTTTTTCCCAGCCCCATACTGTCATCCCAGCAGCAACACGGACAGCACAATACGTTCAAGTTGTGCTTCCCAAGTGACATCGGCATCAGTTACACCCTTGGCGGGCCGGACGCAGGCCAGATCAAGCGCAAATCCCGGCTCGACCAACGTCAAGGTCGCCCTCACCAAAAACAACAGCACGACCAAGCGCACCATTCGAAAGTCAAAATCATCGCCTGCCCACAGCAAGATTGAGAAGGAAAAATTGCAAGAAAGCCAAACCGATTTTTCCAACCCATCCTTGGGCGAGCATCGGGCGAATGTGCGCCAGTGGCACAACCGGGTCGGCAAGAGATATCGCGACAAGCTGAGTGGCAAGTTTGAGAGTCTCCAAGCCGCCCTGCACCTCTATATGGCGACTGAGGACAACGCCGAGGATCTGAACAGCGCTCCAAGTACACACGGTGGTCGTGTCCTCAACAAGGCCGGGCTCCTCGACACGGCCCGCGCCCGAATCGCGGCTTTGCTATCGCAGCGCCAGGCTCTGTTGGCCGAAATGGAAGCCTTACGGCGGCAGTCACAAGCCTAACGTCGAAGGGCTGACCGCGAGAGCTGACGGCCGTTCTTCCCTCGGATCGTGCTTGTCGAAAAGGAAGGAATCAATAATTAGTCAATATCTACGATGTTTGATACCGGATTCAGCCTGACTTACGACGTACAACAGCGTCTCTCGCATTTGAAGAAAACTAGTAGTGTCCTGTCGGTTTCCATTACTTGGTCCCCTGTCAGTCCTTTTCCTTTTCCATAACCGACTGCAGCTGCGCGGACACCGGTCTATGTATTACCCTGGCCAGACTGGCTTGCCCCTTGTTCTGATCAGGGGCGTTTGTTGAGATAACCCAAGAAACTGTTTCTGACCCCGCAGCCGCCACTCGCCGCTCGGATGTTTAGCCAAGAGCAGCTACACCGCCATGCGGCCCATGCCAGGTGTGTGCATCTTGGCAAGCAGAGCCGACAGACCATGCCATTTTCAAGGGTTAGAGCTGTGCAGCAGCCCGAGCTGCAGATATCACCATACTATTGCCCTTCTCGCCTCGGTCAGCGAGTAGGATACGGGCCGTTGGCGAGGGAATACCACGCTAGAACCTAACTACCTCCCCGGTTAGGACATCCCCCTCCCGGCCGTTGCGTCCGTCGCCCCGGCAGCCTGGTGGCCACTGCAGTGCCAGAGGAGACGTCGACCGCCAACAAGCCGCGGTCAGGGTTGTTTTCCGGGATATGATCTGCCACCCGGGGCCGCTTCGGGGCGTAGCGAATAGGTTTTGTGCCGTGCTCCCGCAGCAGGCGCTCGCTACCCTGAACGCGACGTCCGGGATGGTGTGCTGCCTGCACATGCAGGGGACGAGTGCAACACTCCAAACACCAAAACTGAAAAGCCATGACCCAAGATGCCGGGACGTCTGTTAGTTGTTCCAAGGGTCCACCGCGGACGTGTATAAATGGAGTGCCGACTGCACCTTGTGGTCACCTCCTCAGAATGTTCCGCAGCCAGCTTTCGTCCCGCTCACCAAGATGAAGTTCTCCCATCTCCTAGCAGGGGCCTTCCAGCTGGCTGCCCTGGTCAGCGCTGTCCCGAACAACGCGGGAGGCAACCCTGAAGTCGTTGCAGCCCAAAAGATTAAACAGCTGCAGAAACAGTACCAGCAATATATCTGGCAGACGATCAAGGGCCGCACGACAGGCTGCACCAAGAACAACATTCTCAAGCGCAAAGAATGGTATGCTCGCCTTCCAACCACCTCGTTGCCCTGAACGTAGCTGCTAACAACCATCCTCAGGACGGCGCTCTCCCAGTCCGAGCGAGCCTCGTACATCGCAGCCGTGCACTGCCTGGCGAACGCCACGGGGACGACACCAACCTCGCAGGTGCCCGGGGCGCGCACGCGGTACGACGACTTTGTCGGGGCGCACATGCTGCAGACGGGCTTCGTGCACGGGTCGGGCCTGTTCCTGGTCTTCCACCGGTACTTTGTGCACCTGTACGAGCGGGCGCTGCGCGACGAGTGCGGCTACACGGGCGCTCAGCCCTACTGGGACTGGTCGCTGCACTACGACGACCCGCGCCGCCACCCGGTCTTTGACGGCTCGCCCACCTCCATGGGCTCCAACGGCATCTACGTGCCCAACCGCCCCACACTGACCCTGGCCCTGCCCAACGGCATCACCTACTACTTCCCGCCGGCCACGGGCGGGGGTTGCATTGAGAGCGGGCCGTTCACGGCGGACAAGTACGAGATCCACCTGGGCCCCGTGCAGGAACTTGTGCCGGGCATGGTGGGGCCCGACGGCGGCTTTGGGTACAACCCGCGGTGCCTGACGCGGGATTTGAGTCTGGTCGAGGCGGCCCACGGCAGGCCGACCAACGTCTCAGCGCTGCTGGCGTGTCCGGACCTGGCGTGTGTCAACGTCCAGTTTGACGTGCCCGGCGGCGTGCATAATGCGGGCCATTTCCAGCTGGGTGGCATCGAGCTGGACCCGTTTGCCAGCCCGAGCGACCCCATGTTCTGGCTGCACCACGCCCAGATTGACCGCCTCTGGAGCATCTGGCAGGCCATGGACCCTCAGGGGAGGCTTAATCAGGTCTGGGGGACAGGCACGGCATCAAATAGTGAGTCTCTGTCCATGTACGATATTCCAAGTGCGAGGTGGTTGCTAACATTTGTGTTAATTAGTGCCCCCAAGCGACCCCGTCACGCTGGATACGCCGGTCAATTTTGGTGTTCTTAGTCCATCACTGCGGATTCGTGACCTTGTGTCGAGCATTGATGGTGACCTGTGCTACATTTATGAATGAGCTTGATTGGTGTCCTCGAGGTAGTCGTTCTGCAGTGGGCAAGATACCTTGGAAACATTTGGTTATCGCCTCTAATTTTGATATATAATCCTACTCAGGTGCTCTTAGAAATGGTTACAAACAGATCTGAACTTTTTGGTTCTCTGCTGGGAATTCCCCTGCAATGCTAACCAGCCCCTTACGGCAGACGCATCCGAAATGCAAGAATACTGGGCAGCTGCGTGTAGTTCTGGTTCGACTCGACTCGATCCACCGCATCCTCCTCGGTAAATGCCAGCTCCTCCATGGCATCCATGACCAGGCCGGCGCGGAAGAAGGTCGAGAAGAGCTCGTGCATCGACCGGTGGAAGTAGACCTTCCCCTTGATTCAGCTGTCGTGGCAGATCCGTAATGATCTGGGGCAACAACGTACCTGCTTCACCGGCTGGCCAGGAACCGCAATCCCCATCGCGGGGCGTACGTGCAAATACTCCTTGATGACCTTGGAGCGAAAGACATCGATTTCGCCTGTAGCGTGGTTGTCGCGCACCTCTATGATACGCGATACGCCGGACGTGAAGAAGACGGGATGCAGCAGTGTCGCGACGAAGCTGTGAAGGTCAGTTCTTTGGCCTCCCTCCAGGCATTATTTTTCCGGCAAGAAACCATAACTTTAGTATAAGGAGCCTAGAGGGGACTCACACCCCATCCTTGGCCAACAGCCCCCCCTCCGCACTCAACACCTTCGCCAGCGGCTCGATGGTCGCCACGTCCATAATCGCCATGTTCATGACGATCACATTAAACCCGCGCTCCCCGTCGGCCACCAGCCCGCGCAGATCCTCCTCCCGCGTGACGTCCACCACACGAAACGCCATCTCACCACCATCACCTTCCTTACCCTTTTCCTGTTCCCCCGCCCCCGCACCCGCACCAGCACCCTCACCAGAAACACCACCACCAGCAGCCTCCCAGTACCCCCTCGCGATACGAATCATGTTCTCAGACCCGTCCGTAGCCAGGACACGCCGCGCGCCACGGGCAACAAGCCAGCGCGCGACCAGGCCGTTGCCCGTGGCCAGGTCCAGCGCCTTGCATCCCCGCACACGGGCATCCGGCAGGAACCGTGCCAGACACGGCTCCTGCAGCCGCTGCCAGTAGTTGTTGCCGTCCCGGGAGATGGTGCGGTCCCAGTAGCCTGCGATGGTCTCCCACGCGGCCAGGGCCTTGGTAGAGAGGTGGGGTTGGTCATGTTGGTGTTGGTGGTGGTGGTGTTGAGCTGTGTCCTCGGGCATGGTGATGGATGGATAGGGTGCGAGGCTTGGTGAGATGGGTGGCCGGTGGGTTTGGTAGACGATGGGTGAGGGTGATGGGAATTAGGATCACATCTGACCCTGTCCAGGTGTTATGTGAAAAAGGATCAATACTAGTTGGCCTTTAGTGCCCTCTCTACCCCTGAGTGGCTCCGTCTTGCGGTTTAACTTTACGGTAGACCTTGTAGCTACGCCGAGTGACTCAGGCCGTCAGGGACTACTTGCAGAAATATGCGGGCTGCAACTTCTTGATTGGCTGCCTGCTTAACTAAGGTACGTAGTATAGTGGACGGACTACGAATACGGGGTGACAGAAGTCCGAACTTACCTGTCGTATGGCCCTCAGTGCCCTCAGTGGGGTCCATGACCTCGGCATGCATGCTGCCAGGTCCTATGAACCAAAATCAAGATCATAGAGCTCACCGTCGCTCAATTACTGAGCACTACTCCTACCCAGGCGTGACAACTAATCAGCAACGTACTAGGTAATTCGGGAGATCGGTCAAGCGACTCGCCCGATTGCTGGGACCCGGTCTTGCAAAACGGGGATGAAGGATGAAAAATTGCATTAAGATTTCAGTGTCGTAAGAGTTCTAGGAGGTGTCTGCAAAGAAACGTATAGAGAAAGCAGTCAAGTTAATGAGAAGAGAGAAGAGGGGGGGGGCGGGGGGTTTACTGATCTGAAAGGCATGAGTTGGACTTACCAAATTCTCAAGCCATCCAGCGAAGGAAAGAGCAAAGCATCATGTATTATGTATCCAGACCGGTCCGGGAGACAGTCTGAGTGTTATGCAAACATCTCCATCGCTGCCCATGGGCAAGAACGCACATGAGTGTGGCTTCCATTGTTGTCATTGTCGGAATCATTCCCGCTTCAATCCCCAAGGGTGTAAGGTAGGTAATGCGACTTCCTCTCTCATACTCACCGCATTTCTTCCGGGAACATGGACAGTTTCTTTAGTAGCGAGACCTTTCATGGCCATCAGCGTCCCGGGAACTGCTCGTCCCAGTCGACCTCTGGGATATTGGGCTCGCTATCAATGCCCTCCACCCAGCTGTTCTCGCTCAACGGCGTGGAGTTCAAGTAAGGCTAACTAGGGCTGACGGTCTTCAGTTCCTTTTGGCCAGCTTGGGAACCAGCAGTGCAATTGTTACCAGCACATGAACCCGAAGCCGTGTCAATTTCAATGAGACTACATGTTGCAATTCTTCAAGGGATGTGTCAAGTCGGTCTTTGAATCCCTTTGGTCTTCATGTCTCCTTAGCTAGGTACCTTACCCTATCACCCACACAGCTGGACCGTCGTTCCCCCCCTCACGGACGCAACCCGCCTAAGCCTTGATAACCCTCCAATCCACCCCAATGAGCGGCAACCCTTCCCTGCGGCACACGACAGTCGACCACACCGAGACCCGGCCCTGCGGATCGGCATTGTGGACGTTGGCATAACCTCTGATATAAAAGCCCACGTCGTTCGTGCCAAAGGTGAACTGGTCTGAGCTGCCCACCTGACCGGGCTGAAGCTTTACCTCAAAGGCACAGGTTCCTTCCTGGGCAAGCCGCACCCACCCGCCCGCGTCGCGAACCGTCCAGTACCCGGGCCCCGCCCACCGCTGCGTCAGGGCCGCGCAGTCGGTTGCCAGGGCCTGCTCCGCCGGGTTGGAGACGTACTCGGCGTGGGCGACTTCGCCGCAGTAGTCGTACAGATAGGCGCCTGAACCGGCCGGTAAGGCGGTATACACTGCGTCGCGCTTGGCGAGGCCGGTGGACCTCAAGGGTGAAGGGGTCAAGATTGGAACTGCGAATGTGGTGGCGACCAGGGGCACAAGCAAGAGGAGGTAATGAGCGGCGGATAGCATTGTGATGGAATGCGCTTGGTGGATCCCGTCAAGATTAAGGTGGAGGATTGTGCTTCAAACTGAGCGTTGAGGAGAGCGGAGGCCCGTGCCTTTAGTGAGGATGTATGCTGTGAGAAGACTGGAAGCATTTTAGCTGAGGTCCGTCACAGTTCGTCCTTTATATCATTGCAAATGGATTCTTCCCAAACTGTCATCCCCATCTTTCGTGCTTACCAACATGGCCATCCTACATCTCCAACTGGATTACCTCCTGAAGTGATCTGTGTTGGACATGTGCTCTGAGGTAACCCTTCAGCACCTGTCACATCGAGGGGCTTCGGCGAATGTGATTCGCGGACCAGGAACCGGCTTCTCCGGGCACGGCGGGGGCGGTTCGGGGGCGGCCAGCAGGCCAATTGTTGGCGGTTCCGCTGCCCTATGCGGGGTGACGGTCTGTTGAGTGGGAAGGAGGAACCCTGGGGTTTCCTGTATTTATTGGGGCACTGGGGCTTGGCTCGTCAACTCTCCTGATCCCTCCAACAACCCTCCAACTCTCTACAATCAATACCAATTCTTCGCTGGGCTTCTTCAGGTCCAACGTCAGAATGGTTCGTCGAGATGATGTGTGTGCTCAGCACAGAAACCCCCTTGAAACGGTATCCATGTAGCTATGTCCATGTAAGCAGCAAAAAGCCAGCCGAGGTAAAGTAGAGCGCAGCGTCAGTAGCAGGTTTGACGAAGGCGTAGAAACGGAGTACAGATGCATTCTGCCCGAAATGCGCCGGGCCTCCCTGCCAACACTATGACCAAGCATGTGGCCTATGGAGGACAGCCAAAGTAGAGGTCGTGAGTTGTCGTGTTACACCTTACCTGAGAAACCCTAGGCTGTCATCTTCCGACGGCCATTGGGCAGCAGAAAAAGTGAGGGAAAAGGCAAAGAGAAAGACCCAGAACGTCCTTTACCATGGACTCGTTCAACCCGGGTTTATTGTTGCTCGGGCGTGCTTTCCTATCGCCAACAGTTTTGCATCGTCCAAACTCTTGAACCAACAGGTGTGGCCGGAACTCGGAAGGCGCAGAGCAAGCGCATTACCAACGAGCTTTGGCGGCCGTGGCTGTAAGATCATAGGGTACTTGTGCAAACCTCACCAGGGTTCCTCCTTCCCACTCAACAGTACTTGCCCAGGTAAATTATGTCACAGTTATATGCCACAACTTGAAGACTATGGCTGCTGGCAAAGATCCATCAATGTCCCCAATTCCGAGATACCTATAGTCTTACATGCCCCAACAAATACAATTACCGCAGCCCAAGAACAGCTATTAGCGTGGATTAAGATAAAACTTGAGCGCCCATTCGCACATTCCAATGCCTGAACTCCATTTCTGTTCCTCCCGAGGCGCCCACCACCCAGCCAGAACCTAGACCCTCTCCCTCTCCTGTCTCCAAAGCTCGTCCCTAAATACATTTCCCGGCGCTCTCTCTCGATCACCATACGACCCCTCCGCCCGCGAAGAGATAGTGCCGCTTCCTAATCCCACTCCCATCATCCCAGGCCACCCCGCACCACGCGCATCAACACCCGCATTCCCGGGGCCAGGACCATATCCCCTCCCCCAATTCGAACCCTCAGCCATTCCCATTCTCACGGCATTCATCCTCAGCCCATCCAAATCCGTCGTAACAACCCTGATCTCTTTCCCCCTCAGCCCCCCAGTGACCCCATTACGATTACCATTACCATTACCAGTCATCTTCTTCCTCAAGCTCTTCCCCTGACCGGTGCCGACTCTCTGCCCGCGGCTCTGTCGCTCGCCGTAGCCCCCGCCCCCGCCCTTCACGCCAGCGACTACAGTGCCGACCCACCACCGCTGGAGGGTGGCCGCGGCCCCGGAAAAGAAGGTACGCGCCGAGAAGCCCGGGTTGTGCCGCTTCAGCAGGACATAGCCCGCCATGAGCAGCAGGGTGAGCAGGCCAAAGGCCACGGGGAGGGCGATGGCCAGGGTGTTTGCGGTTCCTGGCTGCTGCTGCTGCTGGCGGGTTGGACTTTGGGATGTGGATGATTGGGGTTGTTGGGTCTGGGTCTGCTGGTTCGGTGCACTACTAGTATTATTACTAGTAGCAGTAAAGGTCGTGGTGTTTGTGTCTATGTCTGTGCCTGTGCTGGCGCGGAGGATGGAAACCGTCGGCCCGGGATACCGCATGCGTCCTGCCAGTGGTGTGGGCGCAGCATGGGAATTGGTGGTGCGGTTGCTGGCGGGGATGATCATAATGGGCTCGGCGATGGAGAGGGCGGCCGAGGTGGCATTGGTACCGGGCGGCAGGTACGACTCCAGGATGGACCAGGTGAATCGGCCCGTGTTGGTGTTAAGAGGGGCCGAGGTGAAGCCGGTTTTTTCGCCGGTAGTAGTACTACTAGAGCCGTCGAAGAAGTCGGCTTGGATCAGGACTTGAAAGGGGGTTGTGTCGAAGAAAGATGGGTCCCATGTTACTAGGTGGTCGGCGGTCAGTGTTGATGCTAGCACAAAGGCGGAGAAGCTTACTCTCAACAGATTCTCCGGTTTGAAGTTGGCTACCCTCTTGGGGGGAGCAAAATAGGGCTGCTCCGTGGTTATCACACATCACGAAAGACGGGTAAGGTTCTACTGCTGGTGTCTGCCGGACGGACCAAGTCAATAAAGTTTGTGAACCGTGGCTAGAAAGTTTGGCTTCAGTGGCTTATCTACCCAAACGGCGAATGATGGGAAGTAAAAGACAGGGGAGGGGCGGCTGGGAACTGAGAAGGCTCATATAGACTCTGAGTCCTGGTTCGATAGTCGATACCGTACCGTGAGGTCTTTGCGCTGACGCCTACAGCCTCTTCTACGAATATGGCAGTGTCATTTAGATCTAATGTGTGAGCTGCAAGTATACTCATGCGTTGTAACAGTCCCAATCATGCTCACCCCCTATTTGTTAACATTCAAGTCAATACTGGGAGGTGACACGGACCCCCTTTGCACTGAGCGTTGAAACGCTCTCCGGTGCTTTGGGAACCCCTGAATCCGGAACCCGGAAGAATAAACAAGAGACGGACCCTATGATCGGCAATTGCCATGTTGCGGGCTTTAACCTTTCCTGCAAACTCGCATCACTTATTTTTTCCGAAGATATGGGTGACGACGAGAAGAATTGTTATGAGACATGTTGCACGGCGACCCGGCTAGATCTTGCACGGCACATACCTTATTCACCATCAACGTTGTTCTCAATACTCCTGTAGCATGCGTACAAGTTAAATGTCAAAGGGAAGATGCTTGATGGTAAATGTAGAGACCCGAGTTCCTTTCTCTAGGAGGTGTTATCAACCTGCCTAATATGATAGGTACCTAAGGTACCTATCTTTCTTCCCCTGTCGTCAGCCTGAGCTGCAATAAGCACTCAGCTGTTTCTTTTTGTATGATGCTGTTTATCTCTGTTACTACTATTCTGCTCACAGCCGGCATTAAATAGACAAGCACCAGCAGATCGTCTTTCGTCCACCCCCATCGACATGGTAGATTGTGCACATGGTCTGGGTGCAGTGACAAGTGCAAAAGTACCTACTTGGACATTGTCTTTTTTGGTCATGCCGCAGCTCCACCCACCAACTTCAAGTTTTGAAGACCGCAGCTAAAGAATAGTTACCTATTGATACTATAGTAGAGAACTATAGTAGAGAGTTGGGGGTTGGGAGGAGGTTGAAGACTGGAGCCAAGCCAATGTCCGCAGTGGCGTCCAATACATCAGGTCTCCTCTGGGTTCTTCCTTCTCACTCAACAGTTTGTGTGAACCTCCCAGGGCGAGTAAGGTACACACAAACTCATTCTTTCACCCTACTCTCTTCGCGCCACTACTAGTACTCGCAAGATGGAGGCACGTCAACCACATACCTGCAAGCATTGCCAAATGTTGCTGTTCGACGCCACCGATATTCTTTCAAGTGGGATAAACCGGTGCTGCGAGTAGATGGCATTCCGGTCGTTGAGGGTGCTTTAGACGGATGTGACTTTTTCGCGCACTTTGTCACTCGCAAATTCTTTGATTGAGGACCCCAACTTCAGAGACAGAGGCTGAACCTGCAAAAATCTAGGTGTTTCCACGATGGAAATCACGTTTGAGACTCGCGCTGCTGTTCACGACGTTAACCGTGCGGATATTAATTCTCCCGGAATGTCTAGCTGCTGGACGATTCACTCCGAGCCTGGTATGACGTACTGAACGATGGTGTATCATGGACAACTGATCGTGTTTTCACTCTGACCATGACAACCTAGATGACCCAGCTGCCGCTTTTGTTTCCACTCGGCCTATAAGAAGAGACCTTCGCGACCCCGAACTCGTCAAGCTAGCCAAATCCTGGCTTATCCAGTGCGGCATCACTCACAAGCTCTGTCAAGAGCAATTCAAAAGCCTTCCATTCCAATCAAAGCGGTCTATTGACGTCGGGAGTTCCAACCAAGATACAATCAGTCTGAGAGAGAGTGGCAGAGAGCCCTTCGGCTCTTACCTTTGATATGCTGTATGTCGCCCTCAGTTACTGCTGGGGAGCGGGCACCCACTCGCACAAAACGACAAAAGAAAATACTGACGAGCGACTGAAGTCGTTCACGCTTGCTGCTCTGCCCAAGACAATTCAGGATGCCGTCGAGATAACACGCAAACTAGGGTTCAGGAGTCTCTGGATAGACAGCCTGTGTATTGTCCAGGACGACGAAGGCGACGTGGCCAACCAACTTGGAGATATGCACAAGATCTATACTTCGGCTGCACTTACCGTGTCTGCTGCCAATGCTAGCGGGAGTGACGAGGGGTTCTTATCTGTATGTTGGCCAGCCTCACAGAGCGTACGGCTCCGATACAAGACTCCCAACCGAGAAGAGGGACATGTCATTCTCTCCAAATACTTCCGCCCAGGCGGCGAACCAATCCACACAAGGGCATGGACACTGCAGGAGCATCTCCTGTCCACCCGAACCCTCATCTATGGCACTCACGGTCTGCGCTGGTCCTGTCGGACTGCTAAATACTACGATGTATCTCAGAATCAACCCGACGTCCATTACAACCATGGCAGAGCTGGTCTCGAAACGGGGAAAGATCCCCACGGCAGCCGATCTTTCATCCGGGATCCGTAACTGGGCAACATGGTACGAAATTGTTCAGGAGTTTTCCAGTCGCAAACTCTCGTTCCCCCAAGATAGGCTTCCTGCAATCTCGGCTATTGCCGCAAAATACTCCGAGGCAGGTATTGGTCGCTATTTGGCTGAATTGTGGGAGTCGACCCTGGCTAGGGATCTGCTATGGGGCAAATATGGAGGGTTAAAGGAAGGAAGCAGAGATCAGCCCGCTGGATTTCCGAGTTGGTCATGGGCCTCCTTGGGAGGACCGGTCAGATGGGGAGATATGCCCTTCAAAGGTACTCCCCCTACGTTCACTCTCCTTGGTGCAAGGGTTACCACAACGAGTCCGCCCACGCCTTTTGGCCAAGTGGCAAGCGGTACTCTCCGCATCCAGGGACATCTCCGTCCGGTCACTTGCCTGGCAACTGGTGCGGATGCTTGTAGCAACAAGCTATGGCCTAGGGAGGTGTATTTTCCGCACCCGTGGGATGAACGAGCAGTGCTACTAGCGGGCGCGAACTTGATGCAGAACGAACAGGAGCCGGACAACCTGAATGCCCAGTCATTCTCGCGCTCTTTGACTGCGAGGAAGATATGAAGATGGCAAACGTCCAGGTGTTTTGCCTTGAACTTGTGGGCAACGAACTCGTCGGGCGAGGCCCCAGTGATGATACCCGATTTGGCATCTATTCTTCTGGAATTGTCCTCGTATTAGAAAACAGGGGTAATGTCAATTTCAAGAGGGTTGGAACATACCGCATGCATAAGGCCGTGGACAGGGAAGGGGTATCAGCTAGCGATGTGCGTTTGCGCAACGAGTGTATGCAAGGATGGTTTGCGTCTAGTCCACTTTCTGAGGTTCTCATCCGTTAGCGAGCGTACTAGGTAACATATCTAACCTTCATCCATAGTAGAGCCCTTCTCTATGACCTGGCGAGTCGAGTGCAATGGGCGCGGTATTGTTAATGACGGATCCAGTATGTGTGATTGGGCATTTGACGCATTTCTTGCACCTAGGTCCTACAGTCCTACTAAGGCCAACCCTTGTCCCTTTCCATACCACAAGGACGGGATCAGCTGGACACATACAGCGATTCCGACTCAGCGAGACAGCGAAACCGTAGCAAGCCCAAGGCCCCAAAGTTGGCTCTTCAATACCTCCCACGCCAGACGAGCCACATAGAGGCGCTAAACTTGGAAGGAGCCCGCAGCTGAGGTGTAAGGTACCATTGAGTGACTCAACACCTTTCGATCCTGCCTAACAATGTGTCCGCGACTCCGCCGTTTGAGATTGCTTCCCCAAATCCAATTCCCGCGATTCTATTTGGGAAGGTATTGCTGTCTAGGTGAACATTGGGAAACCTAAAGGCACAAGCAGTGTCAGTGAATGTCTAATTGCGGATTCCGAGGTCTGTCGCAGTGTCGCGCACTCAGAGACTCAGAGTCAGACGAATTGATGATCGCCAGAATAACCCTAGGGTCTTTGACGGAGTGGCGCTGTGGCGTCTTCTCGGGCTGGGGAGGCCCTGAGAGCCTAAGCCGTATCACACCGGACAAGGCAGCAACATCAATGTTTGACGCATTCTAATACAGGCTAACCTGCACATAACGATTGGGTCGGTTACAGAAATTTGACCGTTTGATTCCAGGTTATCGCTATCCAGAGTTGACCGACTTCCTGCCCAAGAGGGTAATCTGTGGGGCACTGCTGCCTCTCGACTCTAAAATCGTAGGTTCAGCGGTGCCCCAAGGCTGCTTAGCTAACCATTTTAGGGAGGCCAAAGCTCTAAGAACCCCCTGACTATAGCGATTTGTATGTATTACTCAGTAGAAATTCTAACGATTATCTTATTAGATAGGTAATTGCAATCTTCTATACGAATAACGATGGGCTTAGGGTATTATTAACTGTTAAGTGTAGGTAATCGTTATATCTGAGATCGTTATGTGTAGGTCTGACTGTAATCATTATTAATTCTGATAATTGTTTGCGGGCTTCAAGTACCGGTAGCTTGGGAGGTGGGGCCGGCCCGGCCTGCCCACAAGTCGGGAAGGTCCGGCGCCCCACACCCCTTCACCAGAGTGGCGTCTAACGGTCTTGTACACTAAGCATGTTTTAGGATTAGGTGCTTACAGGGGTTACACGAAAGCTGTTTAAGAACCACTTCAGCCCTGCGGTAAGGCATTTTTTTCACGGTTTACATGCCGGCTGGGCAAATCTCGAATGCGAGCAAGATCCGACCACGTGCTATTTGGGGCACACCCGCGCTCAGCCAACTAAACCGCTGACATGAAAAACACCAAACAAGCGAGAAACAGGCATGGCAAACTAGCTAGGTACCGGGCATAGAGTCATAGACCCACTCTGGTGGCTGCTTCTGAATCTGATTGATCCGCCGCTTCCTCTTTGGAATGGAAGAAGCTTGGTGGCCGAGAAACGAAGCCATGGTGAGTATCAAGACTGCTACAGTACAGCCCTTAGGCAGCTCTAGGACCCAAACAATGTGTCTGGCTATCGGATCCAAACCGAGGTAAGCATGGTGCACACCTGACCTACGCGACTGCGAACTCCAAGTTAGACTTTTCGCGCAACCATAGGACTGGTATCCGACCTGTTCCAAACTTGTTCATGAGCCTCGGTATCTGAAGCCACAATCCAACTGCAAGGGATCACAACCAGGCACCGATTCGCGGGACATCGAAGCCTCAATTAGCCCCCGTTCTCCTTGACGAGAAACAGCTGTCATTGTAGTTGATACTTGCGTGACGATCCTATTTGGAGCATCATCCCATCCTTCACTTGCTTGCCATCATGATATATAAGTCTGGGACGATACTGGCTTCAAGTCGGTTGGATTGCAGCATCGACAACAACCTCGACAACTCAATATCAACATCAGCTCGACTCCATTCGCTCCTAGCAATCAAGAACGTGCATACTTCTCATCCTTCACCAATACTGCTACTAGTACTAGCACTATCATCACACAGTCTCCAGCAAAAATGTCCAGCAACAACGGAGGCTCGTCCAGCACCAACTGGGACGACGTGCTCAAGCACGGCTCGGCTCTCAGCATCCTCAAGCCTGATGTCATTCCTCCTCCGACCAGCGGCAGTTCAAGTTCGAGCTCCCGTGGCAATTCCGGGTCTACATCTGGCGGCAATTCATCCTCGTCCCGCGGTGTAAGCTTGTCCATTGAAAATTGATCATGGGGATGTCTTGCTAATTAGTACTGTCAATGACTGGCAGGGTTACTCTGGGAGTCGAAGATAATGATGCTACTGTTCCCTCATTTCTAGAAGGTCTCTTCCGGACTCGGACTTCGACGATGAACAACTTGAAGATGGCAATTCAATCTTTATCACTCAGCGATATCGGGCATGCGTTGACTTTTCTGGCTTTTTTGTTTCGTTTGTTGGGTTTAAGCGGTTTGGTTTTCATTTTCAGGCACATTGCATCTGGGGCGGCGTAAGAGGGCGCATTATACATTGGCTTTTCAACATGGGTCTGTATAGAATCGGAATGGGTGTTTAGAGCAGGCCGCCTGGGGCGACCAACGACGCAAGCCGGGCTGGTACCCAAGCATAGCATGGAGTTCAGCATAGATGATGTTTATCGAAGACTCTTTTTCAGTTCACCCCTGCTCCGTAACCGTTCGAACGCTTCCCTCCTCCCTTTTTAAAAGGGGAATATGATCTAGCACGCCTGCTGAAGTCGACACAATCACTAAATATCTTGCATGGATCCATCTGTTGCAAGTTCTGAGGTGGCACTAGTAAGTAGTAACGTGTTTTCTTCAGGTTTCCAGTCGAAATCCTGGTGAGGAATAAGCAGGCATAGACAGGACTTGATTCCAACTACAACATACCTGCGTAGAGAAGTCGCATTGGTTATACAAGTCAAGTTCCCCTTCCTACATTCACCCCCCACGGGCAGTCGGAGTGAATTAGTAGTGAAGTGGTAAAACCCATTGTTGCCATCGATGGTCGCCGCGTTCGATTCGGGGCTGACGCACCAATTGGCAATGTAGCAAACTGAGAAGAATCCAAGTCGTGGTATTTCAGAGACTTTTCCTCGGCAAGTTGGACCCCAATTTCCGATGCGGCTAACGTGCCCATGCAGGATGCGTCCTCTCCATGGGCAGTATGGGACAATCTGTTGAGACTCGTCACGGAGGTCACTCACAAGGACAGATGCACCAGTGTGGTGTTTAGGCAAGAATGCGGGCGCAACAAGACTTGGACGCATAGACTCTGACTCTGACAGTTCGATGCCACCACGAACATTGCCTGTATTCGAATCTCCAACCGTGTAAAGGTGTCAGGCGGACTCGGAGTTCTGTTCTCTCCACAGCTTGGCGGGTACTTTGCACGGTATTTTATAGTGCTTCAAGTGCTTGTAATATCCTTGCGCCGTTGTCAATGGTGGGAAGACTCAAGTCTACCAAACTGCATGGAGAGTTTGCGGTATGTTTGTGAGATAACTTCGAAATTGGGTTGGATCTCCATTGTGAGCTTTGGCGTTGTGGTCCGGGACGCATAGACTCTGACTCTGAGGAGTCTCGAGGGACTGGAGGTTACAATCCGGTTCTCAGTCGAGCGGGATATGTCTTTGTCCTCTTTGCCTAGCTGCCTAAGGTACCTTACCTTTCCAAGATGGAGCGGAGTGTTAGCCAGGCATTTCTGGCACCCCGTTCGGGCTCTGGACCACCGGTTGAATTACCCTCTAACCTCTTTAACTTCTCGTCCAGAATAATCCTGTGCTGAAAGTGTGGGACTGGCGATATCTTTTCAACCCTTTAATAAAGCAGAACACTCAATCTTTCTTCGGCCTCGGCGTGTGCATGTTGGCCCTTGGCACGATTCAGGCCGAGTTATAGCGATGCTAGCTTTTGGGCAAACATGGTACTGCATGTACTGCATCCGTACATTGCTAAGGACGAATGGGGATACCTTCCATACTATATCCTCGATACTTGGCGGCCAAATGTCAAGCAGCCAGGGCACTGGTGGCCGAGTGTAGTCGCATACGTCGGATACACAGTCTTCCCGGTTGGCTGACTCCATCTGCGAGCTTGTAAGCCTCCATCCCAAAAAGTAAGGCATCCAATAACGAAGGCCATCCACACCGAAATGGACGGGCAGGGAAGATGGCAGAATTTGGAGGTATCTGCCTTGTAGGACCCCAAAAGGTCCAATCATCGATTGCTCGCAAAATACTTCTGTTATACCACCAACGGCAGCGGCGAATGCGCGCTGCTCAGGTTCCGGTCTGGTAACGGTGACATTGATGAGGGGTCGCACATGGTATCTTAAATTCTCGATCTACCCATCGGCGCATCCCACCTTCCTTCCTTCCTTCCTTCACCAAAGCCCTCTTACTCTCAACAGCTCACGGAGTCAACAATGCCTGGAAAGCGCGCTCGTCCAATCGACAGGTGCTTGCCCAGGCAACGCTGTCCAGTTTGCCTGGGCAAGCATCTATGGGGAGAAGGGTGGTTCTCTATCATGAGCAATCGCTTTGCTGCGAGGAAATGGCGATTCCCGTTCGATGGGTTCCACGCATCTTCCTCGCAGCAGAGCATTATGATAGAGAACCACCCTTCTCCCCATTCAATGCTTCCGGGTGTTGTTGACTCCGTGGGTTGTGAGGATTATTTGCCGCTCCGCTTAACTTTCTGGATTTCTTTATCCAGTCGAGGAACTTCCTTCGCTTCGGACAATAAAGTGAGACTCTTGTCCTTCTCCATATCCGTTCAAGTTGCTAACAAAAGCTGTCAATAGCCACGGTGTCGCCCTGGCAACCATTCTGGCGGGTCGCCCCCTGCCAGACCTTCTTTCTCCGTCCTGACAGGGGTCCCGAGAGGAGTGCAAACAGGCGCAATGGAAGTTGCCACCTCTTTCTGGCAGCTAGATGCCATGTGCTTTGTGTGCTCCTTGAGCGGGATTCCTCACGTCTGGACGGAGAAGTTGGCACAATGCTGGGAATCCAGTCCCGGCGGTTCAGGGCGCGGAAAAGGGGCTCGAAGGAGGTTGAGTCGGCAAACTCGCCCTTTATGTACCATGGAAAACGTATGTAGCCGCTCTCTCTTCTCGTTAAATTCTGATGCTGACGCGAACTGGCTGGTATAGCAGATTGTCGGACCTGGATAGTTCGTCGTTAAAAGGTCCCGCTGCAATCCGTACTTCGGATAGCGAAACAGAACGAAAGCTACTGCTCCAAGCACCCAACTACATCAAGAACTGCAAGCCGTCTCACAAAAATCAGGGCCCGCCGCCCGTGGCCGCCGAAGAGACACAAAGTGTTTGCGCTGAGTCCCTCTTGGCGCAAGATGGAGGCGCCAAATGACGATTTGGCCTCCTGGCCTTCCTTGGATAGCGACGTTTTCGACGGTTCATTCGCCAAATGGCCCACTTCTGATTTTAGCAACGGCAGTTCTAGGGAGCCGCTACCTCTCGAACCGTCGACAGATGGCTATATATCAGCCCAAGATCGTGGTCCAGACCCGAATCTCATTCTCAGAAACCTTGGGATAGATCTCTCCATTTCGAGTCCCATTGAGCTTATTGATAACTTCGATTTACCCGAAACTCCATCGGCAGGCTTAGCTGACGCCAGCTCCCCAGCGATCCCGAATCACATGACGTGGAGCCCGTCTTCAGTCGAGTCTGGCTCCACGAACTCGCCTACGACGCCGGAAACGCTGGGTCTCTCCCCTGGTCTCTCCCCTGATCTGCTGAGCTTATCATCGCCAGCTCCCCATATCAACTTTGTACATGGATCTTCCATTGGCTGGTCGCAGCTGCCAATGGAACAGGGTGTTATTGGAGATGTCGGACAAGGCATACTCCAGGGCGCAGATCTGATCTCTGAGGTTGAATCATCGTCGTCCAGATTGAGTACTGTCCATAAACCTCACAACAGACACAGTCTCCCTGCGTAAGTCACTTCCCTGAACACGCGATCCAGCTGCCTCCACACCATATTCTGACAAGGTCACAGAAGAGAGCGCCGCAAGCTTGATAGGCCAGAAGAATGCCCTCTCTGTGGCAAAGGGCATGCGTACAGGGCAGGATTAAACAGGCACATTTGTTCCAAACACCCCGATGAGGCTGCTCGTTTCAATCTGTCCACGGAAAGGCAGGTCTGCAAGTGGTGTCGCAGCTCCTTTGCGAGGAAGGATCATCTCCTCCGGCACCTCACCAGAAAGCACCAACGGGCGAAACAGCAACACAGGCGAAAACGCGGGGACATACCTGAGATGTGCGTTACACGTTGAGCGTTTTGTTTTCCTTCTCTCAGACAAATTGTCGCTTAACGGATGGTTTTTATGAGTGATATACAAGGGGCGAGTGTCCAGTATGGAATATGGTTTTGGTCTTGATTCTAGGACAGCAATAAGGATCACCGACTGGCTAGGTCATATCGATTGGCACCTTCGCAGGGTGTTGACCACGACGACGTTTAATGGAATTCTGTTTGGCAACTTTGACTTTGGCATTTGGAGCCGTCAGGCGTGGCTGCGCTTCCCAAACTCGGTAGACCTCGGCTGTTGGACAGCAGCAGCACACTCTGCAACTTCTCAGCCAAGTCAACCAAGTCAACCAAGTGAGAACCTGGTAGCAACCCGAACAGTGAGGCCGGAATCGGGGTGACCGGATCTACCATTTGAGGGAACTACCTGCGCCGGCGCCGCCATGGGAACGTCGACGAGTAACTCAATACCAAAACACAGCTTCCCAAATCCGCATGGAGCCAGGCACACACTGTCTCTACCACGGCATCTTGGTCCATGACTCCATGGAGCTTGGTTGCCGCGAGCTGGACCCTCCCATCCGGCATCGGAGGTCCATCATTCTGAAGCTGGCTCGATTCTCTGGGTAGAAATCGATGTCCTTCAGTACAAAGTACCCAAGGTCCAAGGACACTCAAGGGAGTGCAACAGTCTTTGGAACATCCGTGACCGTAAGACCAAGTGGAAGAAGACGAGAACCATTGCCGGCTTGGCGCTCTCAGCCCTACACACACCTTAAATCTCGCCAAGCCGCTGAAAGCTCCACACACAGCTCCTGTCCCCGCTCGCGTAAACCATGCACAAACAATGCAGCCCCACGTCCGCGATTGACGACACGTCTCCAGCACTGTTCGAGCACGAGGGACCAATTCCACTTCACCTCAAAGTCACACGCCTGCGTTCGTATAGAAACGCCGAGCTCTTCAATCTACATACGATGCCGAGGTGACAATCCATTCTCTCCAGTCACAGACACACGCACACCATGGCGCTCCCGCTCCCGCCGGGGCTCAACCACTCCGAAGCGGCCTTCCTCGCCGAGATGGAGCTGGTGACCGTGGTTCCGCGCCAACGACTTGAAAGCATCGAGCTCCTAGGTGTAAGCCTCAATTGCCCTTCCCCATCCCACCTCCCCCCTTCCTTCCCTCCTTTCTTTCTCAATTAAACTAACCACCCACCACCCCTCACAAACAGGGCAAAACCCCACCCCTCCGCCCACTACACCGCGCGGACCTACCCCTGTGGTTAGCCCTCCTCCTCAAGAAACAGCGCCGCGCCAACATCGTCCCTCCACCCTGGCTGCACCCATCATCGCTCGCCGAAATCATCCACCGCGAGACCAAGGAAGACCCATCCGCCTTCTCCCCGCCGCCCCCGGCCCCGTCGCGCGCTGACCCCGCCCGCCCGGGCCACGCTCACCAATATGATACCACGACGACCACAACCATCTTATCCCCGCCGTTCCTCCCCTCTTCCTGCACCGCCGCCGCGCCCGCGGGGTACCTGCCGTACCACTGGCTTGAGGTGGCGGAGCAGCTGCTCGCGCACGCCGGGGACGACATGGCCGGGCTGGGCGGGGCGTCTGCGGGGGAGATTCGGGGACTGTTGCGGGACTTGGTCGAGGTTCGGGCTGCCAAGATGAGGAGCAGCGCCGCTGCTCTAGAAGGGTTCGGCGGCGGGTTGATGAGCCTGCGGGGTGTCGGCGCCATGGAGCTGGCCGAGAGCAGGGGGTTTGTGCTGGGCGTGGTGGATGGGGTGCGCAAGATTGGGGCCGGAGCTGAGGCGGCGAGGCGCGAACGGGAGGAGGAGGAGATGGCTGGCCCTGGGCTTGGGCTTGAAGACGACGAGAGTGATGAAGAGATGGGGATTTGATACGAGATATCGTATCGGGGTTGGGCCAACGGGGGATAACTTGCACTCCACAGTCACGGAAAGTTTGGTGATCGGGTGCTTGGGAAGGGTGATTTTGAACAGATCTATTGCGATTTGTCGGCTCCCGGGCCGCCAGTTCTATCGCCGGCAGTGCAACATCCAAACGAAACCATTCTATCTCTTCCACGCCAATACACGCCATCACAAGATTCTCCGACAATCAATCAAACTTACCTGGGCGTCATTCTTACTCACCACGACTGCTCAAGCAGGTCAGTCTGCCTGCTCGAGCTATCTCTCCAGCTCCCATGACTAGCGGCTGCAAGCCGTCAGAGCTACAAGACGACCCCGAGCGGATAACCGGGAGGTGACCGCATGATGTTATCCGGTTAGTAATAAGTGCTGGGGGCGTCCGGCATATCGATATCGCTGTCATAGGGAAAGTCCGTCATCTCAACATCGGGAGGGCTCGGGATGTCATTATCCAGAGAGTTCGGAATGCCGAGAGCCTGAGTGGGAGGGAACAGTGTGGGGATTTGGTTGGAATAGTTGGAATAGTTGGAATAGCCGGGAGCGCTGTAAAAGCTGGAACCCGTGGCTCCGTTCCAACCGAACATAGTGGGAGCATTCACATCCCAAAGAGTTCCCGGGAAATGCCCCGTCTTCTCATCGGTCGAAGCGTCATAGTATGTCGAACCGTTTGCGGGGGTACCATCGCGCAGACACAAATCAGCACTCGGGTCGTCCTCCGGGCTATCCGGCCAACGAAAATGTTCTTCAAGATCCGCATCGCTGTCTGGGGTTGAGAAACCATCTGGTATACCAAAACTACCCTCCGAGGTGTGGGTAGACCCTGTCTCCGAGTCATCCTCGGAGCTGCCGGTAGACCCTGTCTCCGAGTCATACTCGGAGCTGCCGGTAGACCCCGCCTCCGAGTCATCCTCCGGCCTATCCGACCACCGAAAAATATGTTCAAGGTCCGCATCGCTGTCCGAAGTCGAGAAACCGTCTGGTATACCGACACTACCCTCCGAGCTGTCGGTGGACCCCGCCTCCGGGTCATGGTAAATTGGACCGCGTGACCAGCGGTCTACATCTTTCGGCATGTTATTTGGCTCGATAAAATTATTAAGGTTTGCAGAGCTGTCCGGAGTCGAGAAACCATCTGGTAAACCAGTACTACCCTCTGAGTTGGGGTTATTCCCTTCCACTGTGGTATGGGGAGCAGAGGCGGCTGATGAAGTGTGAATCTTGTCCGAAGTATCAGTATCAGAGCCGTTGCCCTCGCTTTTGTGCCCGTCCGACCCTCTAACGCTCAACTCGTCATCGGCATCGTATCCCTCGCTATTAGTCCCCGTTATGTACACCACGTTTTGCCCCGCATTGATATTGACGTTTGGGTAGAATATGAAGCCGGGAATTCTGATCTGGTTTGGTCCAGACGCCGACGAGAGTTCGGGAGCGCTGCTTATACTACCGTGGACGGGAACGACGGATGAGGATCGACGCTGCGGGACGCTACTGCCATCATTAGCTGACTCCTCTTTAACGCGACGGCTCTCCTCCGCAGACAAGGAACTGCTGCTGCGCTTCACCCGTTTGGGGCTAGGAGCATGATAATTCTCACTGCTGCTGCTGAACTTCCTTTTCCGTTCGGAGCCACCGTCATTGACAGCGCTCTGCGTGTCCGCAAAGCTGCTTGGCTGGGGACCAGCCTCCGATACTGGGGCGTTTGGCTGTGCCGTCACGGTCTTCGGGCTTACCCCGTCAAGGAGCTCTTCAACCTTTGGCAGGCATCCCTGGGTCTGGAGCCTCGGAGGAGGCAACTGCGATCCATTAGCAGGCCGACTCCTATGCCCAAAAGTAAAGTTCGCGTCAAACACTGGCTTGTCGTTGTCGAGGTGCGGCGTCGGACTGTTGGGCGGGACAATCATAGCCCTATGGTTGTAGTCAACATAACCGGCATGGACTGGGTTGGGGTTGGGGAACCTAGGTATTTGCTCTAGGCTCAGTGTATCCTCCTCCTCCTTCTTTACAAAGGGAACAGAATCTGAGATGGGCCCGGAAGAAGAAACCGGACCGTTGGACGGCAGTGCCACCTCAATGCAGTCGGCTTTACACTCCTCGGCCGGGGTTTCAACTCGTGCCTGAATCGCAGCCTGGACGGCGGCATTATTTACTGCAGGACCGGCGGTCGCTCTTCGTCTTCGGATGATGCTCCGTGTAGCAGGGCATGGTATCCGCCTTGACGGGGACTGAGTCGTGGGTCGGCCGCTCTGGTCCAGGGCCATCAAGGGAGCGGCACCGGGTTGGAGCGCCCGGGACCGCGTTTGCCGAGGTGTGTAGTTGGGACTGACATTTCCACGTCCATGGAATGACTGTGAGGTCTGAGAGCGCTTGTTCTGTGCCGGGCTACCTGTCCCGGCTTTTGGTGTGGGCGCCATTCTTTGTCGTTGGTGATTGAAACGGGCAAAAGCGACTCCAAAAAAGTTTATGCTTTGAAACATCTCACCAGGAGAAAGTAAATTTAGCGAATGAATAAAAGGTACAGTTGGTTCTAGGTGAGTGCTCGTGTTCTCCTTTAGTTGTTCTTCAGGGATGGGCATGGTTTCAATTTATGCGGTTGCGCCAACAAGCTGACAAGTACCTGGCCTTATGTAATCTGTCTTGGGTTTTGCTGTCTCTGGGTTGCCTGAATGCTCTTGGAAGAACAAAGACGTTGATTAGTCCTATTCGTGGATGGCAGGGACAAAGGAAGCGACCACCAAGAGGCTACCGTTCAAATTCCGAGCATCTGGTAGGAACTTCTCGCCACTGTTTCTACAGTAGGGAGTATCTGGGATTGGCTTCCAACCGCATAGATAAGCATAACAGAGAAGCTTCAAAGATCGTGGTGTTACAGCAGCGCCAATGAATGCGGGCAAGTGATGGGATCCGATAGCAAGGGGGAAAGGTGTGCATCGAGAGAAGTGTTTAGGTACCTAGCAGAGGAAGGGGGGGTCTCTGTCCGCATGTTCTGTCTCATGACATTATAGTCCG